AAAAGACTTCGACCCCCCCAAAAAACAAAAAAAAAAAAAAAAGGGGGGGTGGGGGGTTTGGGGGGGCAAAAAGGACAAAAAAAAATGACAAAAAGACAAATTTCTTTTTCGAAGAATTTACTTTTGAGGAAGACAATTTCGTTTTTACTTTTTTCTTTTTTTTATGTCCGTCTCTATTTTTGCAAATATTATGAAAGCCGTTTTTTCGGCGTCTGAGTTCGGAAAAAATTATGAAACGCGCGCGGGAGAAAAAGAGTCCTGGGTATATAACCCTCGGTCCCGTCCGGGGCAAGGGGGGGTCCCGGGGCCGAGCACCGGGTTCCTAGCCTCCGGCCCCATCGAGGTCCAGGGCATAGGCATCGGGGATCTAGAGCCCGAACTTCGTGAATCCTTAGCCCGGCCTCGAAGAACTCCGGTCTAAGCGCATGAGGTCAGTTGTATGAATTATGGTTTTTTTTTATTTTAACAAAAGCAGTCATTTTCTAAAATTTTATCATAAGCTTTCTGATTATGTAAAAAGGTTGGGAGGGGACGACCAGCATAACGGCCCCCTTCGAGTGGTAATATACGCATTTTATACCTACGATCGATGTGTTCAATTTGAATTATAACTACTCCACACCACCCGCGACCCGAAAGTTCTCGAAATTGACAAGCCGGTTTCCTCAGCCTCTCTCAATGCTGGATGTCAGGTGCTTAGCTTGTGTAGTGTTGGGTTGGGATGGCACAAAAGCCACTTCATTAAGTTTTCTAATAAACTTAAAAAAGTTATCATTTGTTTTTTCAAAGCATTAATTATACATAAACAATTATCACTTTCCCGCTAGTCAGTTCATGGATGGGCCTAAGTTTTTTTACTCGTATAAAAATTTCATTCTTTTAAACACGAAATTTGGTCAAGTGATTATGTGGATGTTTGTCGACGGTGAAGCCCGTGCTTCAAATCTTCGGTCAGTTTGAAACTTGTTTTTTTTTTTTTTATATCTCACGGAAAAAGTCACCAAAAATCCAAAATTATATCTATTAGGACACATTTACCTTAAATTTTTTCTATAATACCAAAAATCTCAAACTCGTACATGCGTGGCACTTTTACATCACAATAAAAAGTTTAGGATAAATATGTCATAATGAGCATAGTTTAAGGTTTTTATGTTCCAAAAAGAGTTCGCGGTAGCATCGTTTGAGATTTTTGGTGACTTTTTCCTCTTTTCTTGTATAAGTTCAAAGTTTGTTCAGCTGGGAACCAATGGTCAAAAACAGTTGACATCATGTGGAGTGTATTCGTTTTGCTTCACCTAATAAATGAGTAGTTTGGTCCTGAGCAAGTCCTTAAAAGTATTCATCTCGATCATCATCCGAATTTTGAGATTGCCGGGATGTAAAACTTCCAAAGGATATAAAAAAATACAGGGGGGAATTGGGAGTGCAAAGGCGTGCGGACACCGGCACGTGAAAACAAAAACGCATCCGTGAAGCCCCTGCCCCGCAGGATGTGGATAGGCCACGAAGGCCCTCACTAGAATAAAAGCTCTCTTCTTTCGGTGAGGTTACCTCTTAACCGAAACAAATGATCCAAGGGAATTCCTTCAAGGTAAACATGCCACAGTGAACATTATTTAGGGTTTTTGGCGGCGTCTTAAATAAGTTCAAAATTTGTCGACTAGTCAAGAATAGTCGACATTATGCTTGAGTATATCCGTCTTGCTTCACCTAATGAAGGAGTAGTTTTACTAAAAGAATGATTCTCAAGAACATTTCTCGAGTGATTAATCTCGAAGCATTGATACCTCTCTCGTGATACGTAATAATGAATATGCCAAAAAAATCAATTTATTCCCTACTTACTCGGTACACCTAATAAATGTTCCTAAAGTAATAATTATCAACATGAGCCAACAAGCAATAAAGGCATCGTATACTAATGCGGTGTTAACCATACTTCTGAAAAACATGAAATTCTACTTCTAGTCAATAATGATGGCGTGCGAGTTCTTAATGGTGAATGGACATAAAGAATTAATGGACCTCTTTCTCTTTGGCCAACAGGAATTAATGAATTTGGAACACCCAAATGTTGGCCCCATCTTCTTCTTCTTCTTCTTCTTTTTGAATTTTCTTTTTCTAAAGTTCCCGGTCCCCGGTCGGTCTACAAAATAGTTTATACATTCAACGTTAAATGATCGACAAGTGAAAATTTGCGGTTGCAAAACCTGCTCCAAACACTTATGTCACACATCCGACGATAAATGTTGAATGGCTGAGAACATATCCGCGTGGACAAAAAATGAACTCAGGCTCCGTTTGCTTCCCGGAAAATGAATGATTCGGGAAAAAAAAGATTTCCTGAAAATAATCCCTTATGCCGCTTGAAATAATCAGTCGATGTCTAAATATTTTCAGGGACGATTAAAATATTTTTCGTTCGTTCATTTTTATAAACGATATAAGCGATCATTTTTTAGGAAAATATTTTTCAGCTCATTCATTTTCCTACGAAACAAACGGACCCTTAGCATTAATCCCTTTTTTTTTTATTTTGTTTTTATTTATTTATTTATTTTTTACCGTAGTGTTTTCTTTCGCTATCCCTCTTTTCCACTTTTTTTTTCCCCATTATTAGTTTCACACTTCCTTTTTCTTTTCGGCGATAACAAAGAAAAAGAAAGAATCGAACGTTTCTTAATTTGGGCCTCCGGCGATTGGCTCGATAGGGCGGCCCGCTAATTAGTCTCAACTACGGTGACGCGCTTCTGGGGCGCGTGAAAATCACGCTCTCTTCCGTTTTCTATTTTTTCTTCTTTTTTCTTTGGCCGATTTTAAGAAATTACTTTTCATAAAAGGTGTCTAATTGAGAGTGCCATCGGGATGCTTATTAGATATAATTTGATTTGGTAAATTCGATTTTTAGAGCATTGATTCGGTGTAACACGAGAGCAGTCGGTCCAGTGAAACCGCGATTTTTTTTCTTTTTTGTCAATGGATTGCTTAAAAGGTTTTCATAGAATACTCGTATACAAAATCCTTTATCGATAAGAGTTTCGCTTACTAACCATTGAATGTCATACATTCTCTGTTCCCCGAATTGAAGTACGCGGTTTCATACAATACTTAAAAGAGGTGAATGATGTTAAAATAAACTTAACCGTATTTTAATAATCTATCGTTTCTTCATTTCATTAATCATGCATTATCGAATGTTGTTATCAGATCCTTTGATGTGAAAAATTAATTTACACACTCATCGATTGATGGTGAAAATGCGCATCGGAGAGAAATTTACTCGAGCAAATTCCTACATATGTTATCCATCCATTGTCGATCGCGTGTCATATTTTATAACGTAGAGGATTTAATATGTTCCTAGTTTAAGAACACATAAATTTTGCATGATTATCATATTGATATAAAACTGAATTTAGCTCAGTATTTATGTACGAGATTTGTTAACGAGTTTCCTTAGAGCATAAGTTCAAGCATCACGAAAGTTCGAAAAGAAAACACATTTAAAAGCTACCCATATCATATAGAAAAAGCGTAACTAAAGAGGAATTTTATTAATGAGTGGCTCTAAATAACTCGTCAATAAAAGCTCATTTTCTTTTTCGGCCTTATTAACGAGAGAAAATTCCTCGCTAAGTATGCTTCCACAGGAGATAATTCGATTTCTAAAGAGCTTATCGCACATAATATGGGAAAAAAAATGTACCAAAAATTTACAAATCGACTTTAAATGACCTCTTAACAAATACCCACAAGACAATTTTCTATGAAAAATTCTTCCAAAAATATAATTAATGGACCTCTTAATAAATGTTTAAGGAACAAACCTCTCAGCATTATAATTTTATGCAGTCGAGGTTAGTTAATGTTGGCAATGCTCCATTAGTAAAGAGGGGGGACGGGTAGGGGTGAGCAAGATGGAATGCCCAAACAGGGACCGGACTGACCGGTTTGATCTCGTTCTCGGAAATATCGGTCTGGTTCCCGGCTCCTAAAACTGGAACCGGTTTCCTGGCGGTCTAGTTCTCGGTTCTAGGGTGGGAACCGGACCGGACCGGATCGATAAATATATATTTTTCTAATTTTTTTCATATATATAATATTTAATATATATATGAAAAATATTTAATATTGATTCCATTGGCACCGATTGTTCAATTTTTTCATATATTATATATATTTTTCCGATTTTTTCTATAGCCTTATGGGATTAAATCGGAACTACAAAGAAAAGAATCGAACAATCGGTTTTGGTTCACAAATAATATCTAATATTGGTCCCATTGGAACCGGACCGAACTGGACCGAACCAATGGCCCGATCCGGTCCACGGTCCCAAGACTAGCTGATCTGGTCCCCGGTCCTAGAAATTGAGAACCGGTCCCGTTCTTGGTTCTTGGGTTGGACCGGAGCGGACCGGGAGCCGCTCACCCTTAGGGACGGGGGGAAGTTGATGAAACCTCGGTGAACTCAAAACCTCAATATTAAATAAATAAAAAAAAGAGGCAGATCAAAGAATAGAAAAATTAAAAAATAATATTCAGGAAATAATTGAAAAATCCAGTTCCCTGGCAATTATTGTTGACTGAGACTTGGATCTGAGCTGCCGTTTTAACCGCTGCTCAATCACGCCACTTTCAGCTGCGAACACCATCGAAACTACGGCAGATTCAATCAAATTGACTCGAATCGAAACGCCGGCGATCGGCACAGATCGGAACGTTTCCCGACCGAGTAACAGAGCTTTTCCCCTCGCGATCCGGCGGGGCCGAAGAGGGCCTAACGTCAACAGATGCTCGGCTGCTGCTGCTGCTGCTGGTGCTGCTAACTGTAGCCTATGATTATCATGTGGTGATGACAAGACCAAAAATCCAGTCAAATTAAGGTAAATTAAGCAAATTGAATTGAATTGAATTAAATTAAAGCCCGGATTAAGATCTGGTCTTAACCGTTGAAGCAGTTTAAAATGCTATAAAAATGGGAATCCTCCGCAGCGTGTTGTGTGTGAGCCGAGCTCCAGTCCTTAAATCCGCCATCGACCCCGAGAAGCTCCTCTCTCTCTCTCTCTCTCTGTGTCTCTCTCCCGTTTCACGTTGCTCCTGTGTTGAGCTCGCGCATGTAAAAACAGGGGAGGCTCTGCTCTTTCCCCTGAACTGCTGCGACGACCATTGAAATTCCCCCCCCCGTTGAAACGTCCCGGATTTTCGCTGCTTTTTGAAGGCCCCTTTTCTCTCTCTGTGCGTGTGTGTGTGGGGAGAAAGTACCTCTCAGGGCCGCCGTCTTTCGGGGTTGCTTTTGGCGGAGCGAATTGGTGGCGCATTAATACGAGCGCCGAAGCTCCTCCCCCACCGAGCGCAGCGCAGATTTTGTGCCGTCTTTTGCCTCCCATTATTTCGACCATTTAAGAGCCCCCACTCCCTCTCCAACCTCTCTGCAGCACCGCCCGTCTCTGCCTTTTTCTCTCTTTCCTTTTGTTCTGTAAAGCCCAGCGAGGTACCTCGACAGAGCGGGGGGAAAAGCGAGAAGCAGAGCCAGCGAGCGAGCGAGCGGCCTTGGAGAACACGGCCGGTCCTTTTGCTCGCGGGTCAAGAAGGTGACATTTCGGCGACGAGATACGGTTTTGGATGTTTCTGGTTCGAAGAGATGTGACGGTGTTTCGGATCTGGGGTTGGGGTTGAGGGGTGGGCGGGGGTGTCTAGAGAAGCTGGGATTTTTCAGTAGCATTTTTCTCGGGGTTCGCTGTTTTCTGTTTGGTTTTTTGTTTGGTCATCTGAGTCATCGAAGTGTCTTTCTTTTGTATATAATCATTCGGCGTCGTACCTCATGCCTTATGCTCGCGCAGGACAGACAGAGACGTGGGGAGTGCGCACAACGAAGGAAATGTTGGGTCAGAAGCAAGCAGCCGAATCGGAAGCTATCGTCTCCAACGCGAGCGAGGCGGAGCTCAGCCACGCCAAGGACGGCCACGACAGGGCGCTGGAGGATGGCGGGGAGGACGAGACCTCCTCCTCCGTGCTCAGCGTCAAGAGCTTACTCTGGCACGGCGGCTCCGCCTGGGACGCCTGGTTCAGCTGCGCCTCCAACCAAGTAAAATCAGAATCGAGAGAACACCCATCTATCCTTCGATGCGATCTTGGCCCGGAATCCTCAAAGCTTTTTCCCGTTTTCTCGATTGGTTGCAGGTGGCGCAAGTGCTGCTGACGCTGCCGTACTCGTTCTCGCAGCTGGGGATGATGTCGGGGATCATCTTGCAGGTGTTCTACGGCCTCATGGGGAGCTGGACCGCGTACCTCATCAGTGTCCTCTACATTGAGTACCGAAGCAGGAAGGAGAAGGAGAACGCCAGCTTCAAGAACCACGTCATTCAGGTCCCCTCTTCACTTCTCTTCAACCTTTCCCTCCCCGCAAGAAAACCCACAAAGAAAAAAAAACCCAGACGAGAAGATCAAACCCAGCAAAAACGAAAGAGAAAATGAACAAATCCATCGATTGATTTGCAGTGGTTCGAAGTGCTGGACGGGTTGCTGGGGCCGTACTGGAAAGCCTTGGGGCTCGCCTTCAACTGCACTTTCCTCCTCTTCGGCTCTGTCATTCAGCTCATCGCCTGCGCAAGGTTCTTGCTTTGCTCTGAACATCAACTCAGAAAGATAAAAATCACCCATCTTTCTCGGTTTTCACGAACGCACGAGATCAATGCGCATGAGAAGATTTCTTTACTGATCATCCTCCTCCCTCTTCTGTGTTCGCTCGCTCGCAGCAACATATACTACATCAACGACCACTTGGACAAGCGGACGTGGACCTACATCTTCGGCGCCTGCTGCGCCACGACGGTGTTCATACCCTCCTTCCACAACTACCGGATTTGGTCCTTCCTCGGCCTCGGCATGACCACCTACACCGCCTGGTACCTCACCATCGCCGCCCTCGCCCACGGCCAGGTATAAACCCCGCCGCCCCCCCGCCGGGCGGCGGCCCGGGATCCGTTCATTGCTTTCGCTGATGAGATTTCGGAATCGTAAACGACAACAGAAGGGAGTTTGCTAAGAGAGATTGATTTTCGATGAATCGATGGGCAGGTGGAGGGGGTGACGCACACGGGGCCGAACCAGCTGGTGCTCTACTTCACCGGCGCCACCAACATCCTCTACACGTTCGGCGGCCACGCCGTGACCGTGTAAAAAGCTCTTTCGTTGCTCCATTTTCCCCCCGCCCGTTCTTGACGTTTTGTCTCAGTGTCATCGCGCAAGCCGAAAAAATGGGGGGAGGAATTCGGACGTTCGTTCTTCGGATCGGACACAGATCCAATTCAGAACCCGACCAGCCACAGCTTCCCATTCGCGGCTTTTGCCGGCGAGCTCGGAGCTCGAGACGCTGGACGAAATCATGCAAAAAAAAAAATTTTGCACTTTATTCATATCCATACCTCCTTTTGAGCCCAAAAAAAGCAAAACGAATTTAATAATTATTTTTTTTCCCCCTCGGTTAAAAGACTAACAGTGCAAAAGCGTTCCATCTTCAGCCCCCTCGTACTTCTCCTGTCCTTCGCGCTTCGACTCTCTAGCCTCCTCGAATAAGAAAACATGGAAAATATTTTATTTTAATTTCCGGGTATTGATTTTCAAAAGAGAAAAATTTCTGGGTATTGATTTTTGTGTGTTTTGAAAAGCTTTAGAGCGTTTCGATCTTTGGAAAATTTGGTAGTATCATTCCTCCTCTTTTTTTTAAAATTTTCATTTTGGGTAGAAATCTCATGTTGGCTTTTGATTTTGTGCAGGGAGATCATGCACGCAATGTGGAAGCCCCAGAAGTTCAAGTACATCTACTTGATGGCCACGCTGTATGTCTTCACGCTGACGCTCCCGTCGGCCTCCGCCGTGTACTGGGCCTTCGGCGACCAGCTCCTCAACCACTCCAACGCCTTCTCGCTCCTCCCCAAGTCGAAATTCCGCGACGCCGCCGTCATCTTGATGCTCATTCATCAGGTAATATGTCGTCTCTCGGCCCTTCCTTTGTCTTTCGCCGTCGTTAGGGTAGGTAATTAGGTACTATTGTCCATATGTTACAGTATACACACCAGAAGGGTCGTTTGTGTATTCACTATTTCTCAATGTAGAGAAGGCAAATTCATTCAATTCATTTCATTTGTTTGAGATCATGACAGATCACCTAACATGTATAGATAAATGAAGTGTATTTTGGTAGACACATTGTAGTGATCGCGAACAAGTAATCGAGTTTAAGTACCGAAAGTATGCATAGTCTTGTGATTCGTGATTCATTGCTCGATTTTGATTATCTCACGTCTCGTGGGAAAAACACGATTTTGCAGTTCATAACGTTCGGGTTCGCGTGCACGCCGTTGTATTTCGTGTGGGAGAAGGTGATCGGGATGCACGACACGAAGAGCATGTGCATGAGGGCGCTGGCGAGGCTGCCGGTGGTCATCCCCATCTGGTTCTTGGCCATCATCTTCCCCTTCTTCGGCCCCATCAACTCCGCCGTCGGCGCCCTCCTCGTCAGCTTCACGGTCTACATCATCCCCGCCCTCGCCCACATGCTCACCTACCGAAAGGCCTCCGCCCGCCAGGTACGGCGATCGGAATCTCGATATGTTGTGGTCATTAATTATGTTCCACACAATGTGTGTGATCTATCATGCGAACTAATGAAGAGATTAGTGAAGAGGATTAGTGTTGGAGGGAGTGAAATTACATTAGAGAGAGAGAGAGGAGGGGCATTTAAGAGGTTGGGATTTGGCAAGATCTTTGGCCAGATGAGAAGACATGGGTGGGCATGTCTCTTTCGATTAGTTATATGGTTGCAATTGGATCGTTGTACTATGTCTGGCGTGAGCTGTCTGAGTTGACCCAATGTCTCATCTCTCATGTGAATTACCCCCACCAAAATTAACCATAGTAAATCATCAAATAAATTTTACCATGCTTGCCGTTTTATTCGATTGTGCCATCTACCAAACTTTTAGAGAATCCCCTTTCAAAATGATTAGCATCAAGAGCGGTTGGTGTGGCATCCTAAGTGAAACAAAGATCCAGCCTTTTGCCTAACATTTAGATCTTTGATGTTGATTCCTTCCCTTTTGATTTTGCCTCTCGATCGATTCGCAGAACGCCGCGGAGAAGCCGCCCAGGTTCTTACCGAGCTGGACGGCGATGTACGTGATCAACGCCTTCGTGGTGGGATGGGTCCTGGTCGTGGGCTTCGGGTTCGGCGGCTGGGCCAGCATGACCAACTTCGTCAGGCAGGTCGACACGTTCGGCCTCTTCGCCAAGTGCTACCAATGCAAGCCCCCGCAACCACCCGCCGTCGCCGCGCCGCCGCACCCCTGAGCCGCCGCCGTTGCCGCCGCCCGCTGCCGTCCCATGCGTCGAGCCCGCCTCTTCGATTTTCCGGCCATTTTCGAAACCAACCAATCCTTTTTTTTCCAATTTTCTTTCCGATTCTCTTTTTAAGAAGATCATGTAACATATACATGGGGATAGTGGCAATGATTCTCTTCCCCTGGCATGTGATGTGTGCTGGAATTTCCCTTCTTTTTCCTCCCCCCCCTCCTCAATTTCTATCTTTTTTCGCTTTTTATAATTTTGATTTTTCCCCTTTGTCTTTAGAAAATTAGTTGGTGATACTAATATATAGTGTGTGAAGATTCCCTTTCTATTATTAAAGCATCGGCCATAAATTAAATTTATGTAATGCCCTAGCTTGAGCTTCTTCTTTTTCTTAAAAAAAAAATTTTTAATTTCCCCTTCTTGCTTTCTGATAGGATACTATAAAGATACGGTCGGTCGTCCTCAAGTTGTAGTTGGCAAAATGTCATTATTACAAGCATGTTCCCCCAATTTCTGCCAAATTTTTTTTAAAAAAAAATCAAATTTAGAGTATGGGTCTGCTTATTTATTGAATTATTATTATTTAATAAATTATTCTGAAAAGGTTGTATGTGGACATTTTTTTTTTCTTTTTTGACCTGCCTGCAGTCACATGGGTCGCACGTGGGTCAGGTCCTGTCACGTGCCACCCTTTGCTCCTCCTCAAAATCTCTCACCTTAAATTCACATGTGAGCCTCTACATGGGCCGACCTATCTCTCTGACTTTTGATTTGGGCCATGAATTTTTCTTGATTTGTTTGGGATTTTTTCGTTAATTAAAAATTAATTTGTGGATTAAAATAGGTTTTTTCACTGACCAATTGACTAAAGTTCATGTTTGAGTGCAACCCAAATTTTCAGATGTCAGTCTGCTGCTGTTTCTTGATGAGGGGGGGAAAGGTGTTGAATGTCCTCATGTGAAGCTGCCCACTGACCAATTGAATTTTAACTTTTGATCAGAATTTCCAGAGAATAGGGAAGTAAATAGTGCTTTATCTCAAGTTGGTGGTCAACGACTTCAATTCCTTTTTCACATGATCCAAAAAACTGAAAAACAAGCTCAGTTGAAAGAAGGTGACAAACAGAAAAAAAGAAGAAAATAGAGAGAGGCCATTGTGATGAATGAAATAAACGAATTTACGCATAGTACGCGCTCAAGAATCGCACTCCTCCGTGTAAGTCGGTAGTCCATAGATGAGAAGGGGTCGGGGGCAGGCTTGGACTCGATTTTCTGCTATGATGAATGCTTTTAATGTTCTCTGAACAACGGACGATATCGAATTTAGAGCACGTAATCCGGTGCAAATGATGAATCGCTAACCATGTCGAAAATGTAGACTTAGTTCGGTAGGGAACATATAGTCAAGATAACATCAGTCGCACTATTAATTATGCAGGCACGAGCGCTAACATATATATTATTACATTGACCCCCATTTATGTGTTTTGGACCAGACAGTATTCCAACAAATACAAGAGGAAGTAGTTTCGATTACTGGGTACTTTTAATTTTGTTTTTTATTGATTTTTAACCGCTTATAATATCAAACAAATAAACGAGATTAACTCACGGACCAAAAGAACAGAACACATTAGAAGCAATGTACTAGGCCATAAAAGTAATTAATCTCGGATTTATGATATTTAAAGCTAACAATCTATTTATACTAATCAAGTGGACCATATGGCTCGGGTGCTTTTCCCCATGTAATATATACTTAAGAGTAAAGGGACCCTAGAATGTGGGAAATAATCTGAAAAAGAAAAATGATTTAAAATTGCAATAAAAGGGGAAAGTCTTAGATCTATACACTCAAGAGAACATGCAAATGCATGTGGAAACTTCAAATTTTTCCCTTTTTTTCCCTTTAATTATTAAAAAAAAAAGCGGGGAAGTGACATGTGGGCCGTTGATTCTCTGATCAAATAATTAATCATGTTTAAGTTGTTCCTTTACCCGTAATCATTGGGGGGTGGGGAAGAGATTATAAATTTAGAATCCCAAGTCAAAGATGATTTCTGATTTGCCATGTGAAATGGTGTCCCAGCATTGTGTCGTTAACGTTATCTAATCAACGGTAATTTCCAGTTTTTGAAAAAATAAATAAATAAATTGAAGTTCACATGATATAGGTCAATAGAAGTAAGTGCCGACCAACGTGACTTGATGGTAATCGAGAGGGAGAAGATGGCATGTCAAAGCAACTGTCAAGTTATGAGGATTGCCATGTCATTATAGTTATTGTAACGTTACATGCATCGTGAATGCCGTGTCAGTGTATCATGCGATGTCGTCCTACCTTTGTTCGTCGTGTCGGTATGATTGACATAGTTTGCCATGTCATTGTAGTTAATGTATCATTTGCGATAACAATTGCGTTATTTACTATGCATTAGGGTTAGGTTATAATAAAATGCTTTACAATATCATTCATTTCGTGGTCTAAAATTGGCTCACCCGCATGCTTGCTCGTACACATGGAGTCATTCCATTACGCGAATAACGGTGTTATATTGTTATCATTATTTGAGTATGGATTAACGGCGGATAATTAGAAACAAGAGCACCATGCATATGCTTAGAAGATCGAATAATCAATGAATCGAAGGCTTAATCAAAGGGTTGGGGGTGCCGAAAGGGCGTTGTGGGGGCGTCTTCATCCTTTCTTTTGCGTTTTGATATTGAATCTCAGGTTTTAGTTCTCTATAACCAACTACTTAGATAGAAAAAGTACATATTTTTGTTCACATTGATGAGATGATCTTTACTTAGTTGCTTGTTTACTCAAAGACCCGTGAATTGCCTGGTGAATCGTTCTAATATATAAATACTAGTTTTCTCGCATGCGCTCGAAATGAATCTGAATGATTTTTAGCAAGATGGTATGGACAATAGTAGGAGAGTTTTGCTAGGTAATTGCGCAGAGATATCGGATTTTAATCCTCAAGATTACAAGTGGCCCGTGGAATTTGACTAATGAAAGGTGGAGATACATTCGCGAAAGGGATAGTATTGGCTCGAAAATTTAGAAAGATATGCGGAAGAGAGTAATTTTTTATATTTCGATATATCATAATGAATATTATATTAGCCTATTTATAAGCTTTATGAAAATAATAAATAAGATAAAATATTAATCAAAATATGTACAATCAAATAAAGATATTCCCAGAATCTTGAAAAATACAAAAAACCATCAGAATTATCCTAAATATCTTTAACACTTAATTATATATAATGTTTAATTTATTATTTTTTGTATTGATATTGAGATGAGATAAATTGTGTTTTGGTCGTCCGAGAAGTTGACATAGATTTAAAACTCGGCTTTATATATAGCACACCTAGATACTGAAAAATCATGTTTGTTTGTGATAGGTCCAAATGTATTGCGGGCTTAAATGCACTTTAGATGGTTCCTGAAAAATTCATTGGGCTTGATCCAACTAATTATAATGTTGATGAAGTGTCAAATCTATGTATGTTGCACGGAAAATTGTTCAAAAAGTCTTAAACCTATTGCACTTTGACCAATTCAGTTTTAAGCCTTTCAATTTTGCCAATTAAGTCACATTTTCATGTTTTGTCAATTGAGTCAATCCGGCCAATTTTAACCGGAAATCGCTGATGTGGACGCCGGTAGTACCACGTAGAACGGCTGACACTGACATGAATAGAATGTTTTAAATAGTTTTTTTCTTTTTCTTTTTCTTTCTTTATAATTTTTATTTTATTTTTTATTTTTCTTTCTTTCTTTCTTTTCCTTTTTTGTCTACCAAATCCAGTGAGGGTCGCTGGTCACAAGCGAGGACTAGCCAACTCTCGCCAACCACAGGCGAGGGCTAGGGAGGGTCAGCTGGCCATGCCACGTAGGACATCAGGCTTGGAAGAAAAAAAAAAGAAAAAGAAAGAAATAAAAAAAAGAAAAAAGAAGAAAAAAATTGTACACGTTGGCGTCGGCCATGGCATGTAGGACGGCCGGCGTCCACGTCAGCGATTTCCGACTAAAATTGGCTGGATAGGCTCAATTGGCAAAATTGAAAGGTTTAGAACTGAATTGACTAAAGTACAATAAATTTGAGACTTTTTCGACAATTTTCTCATATCTTGTGGGTGCAAATGCAACCCACACAATCTAATTACAACATCGACAACTCCTCCGAGGCTCAACAAATGTCTCTATGATTGGGTAAATAACTTTAGTAGATTTTGTTATCGGATTTATTGAATTTTGAGTTTAAGCACCCAAACGAATTGGATTTCATTTCGTTCCAAATGACGCTGTCGTTGGAGCAGAATCTGACTAATTATCTAGCAAGAAGATGATATGAGCTACATGGTACACCTACTCTCAGCCATGTCACTGCCACTAGGCTCCACGTCAGCAATTCCCCGAAATTTGGTCGGGTTTTAGTTGGAGTGCATTAACTACAACGAAGAATGAAAATGTAGTGTTTCAGATAGTTGAAAGGAAACACTAGTTAGGTTACCTAATTGCAAAATTCATTAAGATTTAATGATGACGAGTCAAATTCACCCCATTTCGATCTGATTTGTGCTTTCGTGTTTGGAAGTTCGTGCTTGTGGGACTTTGGGCAGTACTGTCATGGAAACAACTCTAGTCATAGTATTGTCTCCATTTTTCCCTTCCGAATTCGGACCACCCGGTTGGCGGCCCGACCTTCTCACCAACTCCACGAAACGCGCGAAACTCGTATCAATCGGTCCGGACGCAACTCTCGTGCCGAGCCCTAGCACTGGATGCACATTACTATTTACAAAAACTAACGAAGAAAAGAAAAGCATATTTCTAGTAACATAAAAAGCACTGTTATTAGAACAAAAGGAGGGTAAAAACATTGAGAAGGATCCAAGGTAAACATGGCACTCAAAACAACAAAGGCCAATCCCACGCACACAAAAGGGAGACAAGTGATCGGAGGAAAGATTTGTCTCATGGGTTCACCAAGTCTCTATACAAGGGAGAGAGTGGCAGGTCTTGGCTTCACCAGCCTGCCAATGGACAGCGTGGTGATGATCACCAGAAGGAGCAGGCCGACGAAGGACGAGATGATGGCACCGCCGCCGTGGTCGCAGAAGGTCCCGAACTTATCGCAGATCTTGTTCCACCTCGCGTGGGAGTTCCCGTTCTTCCCCAGCTCCGCCATGAATGTGGCAGCGCCGTCCCCTCCGGAAGCTAAAGACACTGTCATCTGCTCCATAGCCATAGTTTTTCCTCATTATGCAATAGTTATACGACGCGATATGCTGTTATGGCGTTACTGATCAACAGTATCAACAGAAAATATTATATGCTCTCAAAGTATAGTCTCTCATCTCAGATAAACATGAATTCTATGTGGGCGTGAAATGAAACAAATGTGTATGGGACATAAGAAGAAGGATATAGTTGATAATAGGATTGGCCAAACATGATCATGCATACCATGTCAAGAATGGCAATCATCACAAGACGCAGTCCCTTGTAGTCGAACTTATCTCCCCAAATTTCGACAATTATCATAATCAAGTTATGTAGACTGGCCATTCCGTTCACTATCACGAAATACCTGCAATGCATGTTTCCATCGATTGTGAGAGAGTTATCGCATAAAATTAGTCTAATAAATTAAGTCGATCACGCGTAAAGAAACAAAGGGGCTACAGTTCGTCTGTTGGCGAAGTCTGCAGATCACTTCAGCATTTGCTTCTGTCGATACTCATAATCATTCTCAGTTGCTTCGCTGTATCCTCTTTATATAAAGAACAGGTATTCTTTATGTAAATGACAGACTTACACAAACGCTGGGGTGTGTTGGAACTTGGCAGTGAGGGTGGCTGTTATGGGCGTACTCCCGATGGTCGCGACTACCATCGTCTTGGTCTGCTTGTTGAGTGCCATAATAACCGTCGCCGCCGCCGTCGCGAAGAAGGCGACCAGCCTCAGTACCAACAGGACCTGATTTCTCGGCGCCTTGGATATCGGCGTGGCGTCATGCATGGCCTCCGGCTTCGCTCCATTGTCGAGAGCCATGGATGAGACAGAGAGGGAGAGAGAGGGAGAGAGAGGGAGAGGTGTTGATGCTTGATGCGGGAGAGATGGCGAATTGTTTATATAGGAAGGTGAGGAAGAGAGGGACGAAATCACTCGAGATCTTTTGTTTGTGTTCATGGAACTAGAGCAAAGAGCAGAGCGTTGTGCGTTCAATGGTAGTCTAACCATTTCCAACTTTAGTTTCTCGTATTGTTGATGGCAGTTGAGAATAACTCAGCTAAATCCCTAGGCATCTTTGTGCAACTCCATCTCGTGCATGTTCTTTCCAACCGCTCGAGACAATGTCAACTGGTTGGATTTGAATTTCATGTATCAAGGCCCGTGTAATGAGCATTTGCATCAACAAAATCATCAGATTCTCCGCGTAGAGAAGGTAGCTCTTTTAATGGGTTTCGATACTTACTCTAATCAAAGTTAACCAACTCCACCGGTATATTGACATCTCGATTATAAGGATAAGAGAGCAAAGACCGACGGTCGGTATAAACTTCTAGCATACATCTCTCCCAAGAAGCTGGCGTGTAAATAATACCTCAAATTCGTTAACAAGCACTTTCGAAGCACTTAGCAATCAAGTATGGCAAAATCACCATTTTCTAGTCATTAAGCCCCAGTGAAGCACGTAATTGGTGTTCCGAAAACTAAACTTGAAGAGTTGGTACTTTCATTCACTCTACTAGTGTATATTGGTGCCAAACAAATGTCCCTCCATGAAGTGACTGAATGTGCTTGAAGTACAGATATAAATGGTATTTTCCACATCATAAACAGACCAATATCCATGTCCATATTCAACTGACAAAAGTAGATCACCTTTTTATCATAGCTCATCTAGGAATATCAAGACTTTTATTCACTCTACAAGCATTATAGGGCCAAACAAATGAGCCAAGTTTGACAAGATCTTCAATACAGTGACAGAAATCTGAATGTACTGGAAGTACTAATGTCAATGTCCTTCTCACATCGTATTCACAACCAATCCCCATGTCCATATTCAACTGATGGAAATAGATCATCTTTTCTCCGTTGTGACGCCGACGACGACATTAGTCACCTGAGACATCCAGATTGAGCATTCATTTCGTTTCATTCAAAATGATGTCTATGAAATAAGTAGAGATTTGCGGAATTACCAGTTTGCCACTCTCGTCGACAGACATGGGGTTCTCAACCACAACAGTTTGAGTAGATTGGGGCATTGACTGGTTGAGCCACAGAGAAAATGGGAAAAAAGTTGCGTCAAAAGATTGAAGCTCAACACGTTGCAACTGCAAGATCAAACGATAATTTAACCAGAAAGGAAACGGAAGAGAAACCATACCGTTGAAGTAGACGGTGTTGTCCCTGACTGTGGTCCATCGGGTCTTTGTGATGGAACATAAACCCTCGGACTGCCCGTCTGCCAAAATATATAAAGTGTCAGGGAAAGGGGGGTATTAGGAGAATCAATTGTTTTAACCCTCAAAATGCCCAAAACGAGTTAGTTCCCCACAGAGAAGGTTCAATAGCCCATGGGCAAAGAGTTTAATCAACGATAAACCACCAAATATTAGGTTCACATTAATAAGGAAAATGTCGGCAATTGGTTCCATGCTAAAGTGAAGTCAAGAAGTCCAATAAACAGAATTCACAGTATAAACTGAAAACATATATGAGACATTATAGAGGCCATAAACTACTACCACAAAATTGATGAAACTTACACCAACATTAGTAATGTAGTGACAGATTGCACACTTCACAGATGGAGCCCCATATGGGTACATCAGCATCGTCCGGCAGTTTCCACAATTTACATGAGCAAATTGATTGGAAGCTTTTTCACAGTCACCAAGACACAAGAAAACATCGTAAGTTGTTGAGCAAGAGACAAACTGAAGAAACAGCATCAAAGGAAATAATTGCAATCAGGTCACACAACCAGGATAACAAGACAATTAATAGTAACCAAAGCTTTTTAAGTATTATTTAGGGTACAAACCAGCACATTACAACAATGGGGTCTTTGAGATAGAAGCTCCATTATTACAGGAAACAAGTATTTGTACAATGCTGACAATCGAAAATAAAAGCCAAGTATCATCGCCCAGGAACTTCTCTTTTTTGTTGTACAAACAACTAACTCATGATTGCCTATTTCAACCTTGTCCACCAACCTTAATAGCTTTTCTCATATATCTTGATAATAAAAAGAACTCCACATACTTTGATAAACCCGAATAATAAAGTATGACTGGAGAAGATGATCCACTCTCAGCAGCAGCCTTACAGTGTGTAATTCCTCGCAAATTTTTGTGCAAAAACCAGTTGGGAATGATCTCTATGTAACTTAAGTACTCATTGATGACGCCAGCGAAAAGGAAAGACCAATAAAAGGAAACAAGGCCGAATACAGGTGAAGCCAAGTGCATAAAACGGTATATTATTGGATGATCATCCGAAAACCACAAATTCACCAAGCTCTAGCATATCTATCATAACTTCCAGTCGCATAACATACTCAAACTCTACAGTGTACTTCTAGAATGTTCTCTAAAATGACCAACTACAAGCATGGAGACTCCAAGACAATTAACTGTCATACATGTCAAATTTAATATTTCTTAACTACCATGATATCTGTTCTAGATATCTCAAGAAGCAAGATGGATAAAAAACAGACAAACTAATATCTGGACAAACTCTTAGAGACTTGAGCAATACTTAAGTTGTCAGGGAACAAACTTGTTCGATAATGACACGTCTCGCTACTCTCCCTTTTCTAAGTCGGACCTTCCACATGAAACATAGGTTTGCGGAGATAAACATATCGAACAGCACAAGGACCAAAATGATCAACAGACATAATGACATCAAGAGGGAGTGCAAAGATTAGAATTCTTGACCTAAAACTCCGATACCATGCCTAAGTTGCCAGGGAACAAGCCCATAATAAATGTCAAGCATCTGTCTTAACAAGACTGAAAACAGGGATAGAGTCTAGTCCACTTTTCTAAGTAGCCCGTCTAAGGTCAACTGGATGGAACGGGGTCTGTTCTCAAGCTGTAAAAGGTCAACCTGTTAGAGCCATCGAATTTTTAAAGACATGCCCATGGCAAGGAAAAAGAAAAAACCCAACTGAAAGCCACTAGAAAGTTTACACGAAGCAGGTGCAGTTTGAGGCTAAAAGCTACATGTTTGGAGTCATGGAGATGGACATGGCCAATGGTCTTGAAAAGAGTGGGAGGAAAACATTAGGAATGTGAGAGGCCATTAGAGGTGGAAGAGATCTAAAACTTGATGAGCAACGGTAGGATGCGATTCACGTCAAAATGGAACTCTTTCAGATTCGGTCTCTTGATTTTCAGCCTAGGAAGGAATGTTCAATCCATTGTTAAGAGGAGGACTCGTAATTTGGAAGAGAGCAGGAATATCAATTCCTTCAGAATGGGGATTCAAGATTCAACGCACCCCTACCAAATGAAATAGGTGTCGGACCAGAATCATGATTCCCTTCTAAGTCTGACACTTTTCAGAAAACATGGCCTTAGATTACCCAAATAATTTCATGCCATGAACACCACAATGAAGTTGATAGCGTCTATCAAATAAATGAAAAAAATATTGTGTGAGGCTATGAAAACCCCTCATCTTACTTTCTAATAGATTGATGTATGATGCCAAAGAGAGTATTTTTCTCCATATACCTCCATTATAATCTCAGGATCTCAATAAATTCCTCTTTCATCCACAGAATATCCCATTTCAAAAACCCAAATCAGCAACTATACAGAGACAATTCTGGTCAGTCTGCTTGTCTATGTCAGGTTCTGACAATGAACCGATGAGAACTCAAAAGATATAAAGATGGAGTCACCCTAAAATTGTTACTGTTACTAGTCCAATTTCAGTACTATAAAGCTTGTTTCCATCATCTTGCTAAATGTATATACTATGTAAAAATGGTTTATAAATTGTCAAAGAAAATACACAAGCTCAGCACCTAAGCATGTGGCAGGTATGGGGAGGAAAGAGCCCTACAAATTTTAAGCTTGTAAAAATGTTAAAACTACTCCTCCAATTCCAGTACCACGAAAAGCTCGTTTTCATCATCTAGCAAAACATTGATAGTATGTAAAAATGGCTTATCCATTGACAAAGAAGATACACTAGCTCAGCAACTACGGATATGACAAGCATGGGGAGTAAAAAGCCCTACAAATTTGAGTGAAACCCACGTTCCAAATGTTGCAAATGCATTTCGATCTCCAATAAATATCACTCTCAACCCAACCCCCCCCCCCCCAAAAAAAAAGAAAAAAAAAATGGAAAACGTAAGCAGGCACTACTTATACCAAAAAGATTCTAAAACACATATAAAGAAACTGAAATGATTCTGAGCATATCTCAACAAATGACAACCCATGGTATCTTGATGCGGAGAAATTACTGAAGCCTGCACCCCTAATTAGCTTGCCAAGGAAAGCATGAGCACAAAATCAAAAAAACCATCAGACTCTTTCATGAGATCTCAAAAATCCCAAGCAGTTTACTAAGGTCCATTCTTCATATTTCCTGCTCTTTCTTCAACCGCTACAAAATCTTGCGCCACAAGAAGAAGAAAAAATTTCTCACATCCGCTCCTTTTAACCAAATGAAACAAAAAGTTTTTCCACTCCAACAAGAAATGGTTCAAGAAGCAAAGTCAAGCATAATCCAGATATCAGGTCCAAAAGTAAATATTGTTCCTCAACCTCTTCCAGCAACATACTAAGAAAAAGACGATGCTCAATAATCCTAAGTGAGCTCCGACTTACAAATGGCCACTCAAGAGCCAACATTTTATCATCTCAAAATTAATCATGCAGAATAAAATCAGTACTTACGCTTCAAAACTTATGACGAGACCGATAATGTGGCTAAGGAGCTAATAAAACAAGAGAATTGGCTTCTACTCCAAACCAACATCACAATTAGCTTTATTGTTGATATTTAGGGAAATTGAACTTTTTAGCATTACAAAAAATGATGTGAAGAAAGAAAACTCTCAACAGAATCCTAGAGGAAGCTAATTGTTGTTTAATGAGAAAGTACCAGGTGTAACTGGTGCAAGGTTCACAGTGTGACAGCAGGAGCATCTCACACTGGATGCCCCACGAGTGTACATAAGCAGTGTCCTGCAACCTCCACATATAAGCTGGGCCATATCTGAACCTGCAAAGGCTATGTGGAAATGTAGTCAGCCAAACACAACCACATAGAGAATCTAATGAAATCCTATAGAGACTTGAGAGTTAAATGTCATAAAGGCATTTTCATAAGCACATTAACACAAGTCATGGGACAAATGGGAACACCACTACAACAATTATATAGGTTCTATATGCAACCAAGCAGAAAAAAGTTCAGTTTCAGTTGCAGAAAGTGTTATTCAAGATTTCAAAAATGATGTCCCGGAAAAATAAAGATAATCAGTCTCACCATCCAAACTCGTGGTCTGTTACGTCTAGTATGTCTCTCAAACCACCAGGAGCTTTGGCTTTTACTCAATACTATAAGTGATGAAGACAAAATAGGATGCTAGGGTGGACTACGACAATCTTTAAAGGTGTAGTAGACTGAAAAGAAAAACACACAATGGGAGGTTGAAAAAGGTTGCAGAAATCACAAAGGTAATATAGAATAACATTGGAGAAGGATGTCGCAGACCATTCACAAGGAGATTGGCCATGTTTATGAAAAACAAAACATAGGTATGTGCTGATGCAATAAATACTAATTAAAACATCAAAGGAGTATGCTGGAGACGATATAGATCACGAAAGTTACCAGGAGGAGGAACAGAGGTTATTGTGCTACATAATGCACAGCAAACATTTGGAGCCCCTCTTGGATAAAGAAGAAGGCTTCGACAGCCACTGCAGACAAGCTGACTCTGCATAGCTGCAAAGTTGAGGATCCAGGATTGCATATAAGTAAGCATTAGAAGCTTCTAAACAATTTCAAGATGCATCCATGTGATTTTATGACAGCAACTGCCTTGCCACTATCGTTGTAGGTCAGGAAATCAATAAGGAATGGCCCTCAACTTCCCAAACTTTACACTTTATGCATAATAGAAATGAACTTCATCCACACATATATGAAACATCATAATTCCTACTGAAAGAAAACCTACAGAAGAAGAAGAAGAAGAAGAAGAAGAAGAAGCGCAGACATATATAAGGACACAGGAGGAAAGAAGCAAAATCTTCTCATACGCCATTAGTTTCCTAAGTCAAAAGGCCAAGTTTCTTTCACGCTTAACACCAACAACTACAACCATCTGAGTAAAGCAGACACTGTCCTTAGGTGATGATCCTGAGGTACAAACAATGATGGGGTAAAAACCACAATTTGGCCAGAAAAAGGATAGAGATACGTTCATCTCGCATCATCAGAGCAAGTCACGAAATAGTCATTTGGTTTGTTTCAATAAGTGACTGAGAAATTAAACACTCTTGGAAGGGGCGGCTAAAAACCGCCGGCAAAGACAAGCATACTATGAATCACAATGCAGCAATTTTCATGTCCTATGCTTGGTTATACTCATAGTCCCATATCTTCGTTAGCTAGTTCGTCCAGGAATCAGATCAGAGTTGACCAATTCAAACGATATTTTTATTAATGTTTCCTACCACGCCGTGCTTAGCCCAGCAAAACCCACAACCAATTGGCCCTCCTTTGACATGAACTACAATTAGCGGGCCAACAGAGGCCGCACCGATCACTGCCTTCCTCCGCAACCTCCACCGGCTGTGATCGCGGCAAGATCCGAATTCGCGCCCATAGCGGCCCATACAGGCCGCTGCAGCCGCCGTCGCGATCGCCTCTATACCTTCGAACCATGAAGATAAACATCACGGGAATATGAACCCCAATTCCAAAGGCTCACGCAAGGAACCTCGACGGCCTTCCCCATAAACGACTCACCCCAAAAACCCAAACGACTCTTCAGCCTTTTCGTAAGCGGCAATTCCAAAATCCCACACGAATCCCCCCCGCCCCCCCTCCCTTTCCCAATAACCATCCAAGGAATCTCCAACTAGATTTCAACATTGGAATCGACAAATCAGACCGACCATCTCGGGGGCTTACCTGTCGATACGATTCGTCGCCTCGAGTCTCAGCGACCCAGCCTCCGAATCGGGGGGTGGTGGACGCTCCCGGACGCGGACGGCGGCGGAGGTCGCCGGAGAGGGGGCAACCGGAGACGGCGGTTGCCGGCGGCGGGGGCGGTGGTTGGCCTCTGAATCGGGGGGCGCTCCGTTGGGCCAGATCGCGCCTCTGGTGTTCGCCTTGCGCGTTTTGGTTTTGTCGCTCGATGGATTGTTGTTGTTGTCGTTGTTGTTGTTGGACTTGGACAATGGAGTCGAAGGAAACCGGAGGTTTTTGTTTTTTGTTTTAATTAATTATTTTTTGGTTGAATAAATTATTTATTTATTTTTGGTAAAAAATAAATCATTTATTTTGCAATTGGTGGTTTTTGGGATTTTTCTGGTGGGCTATGTGTTGGGTTAGCATTGCCGGTTCGGTTCAGTTCGGGTTCGAGCTTACTAGCTTTCGAAAGTTTGAACTCAACTTGATAATTGCTCCAAGTCGGGCTCGCCCGATTCTCGATCGAGCTTCAGCTCGAGCCACTCGGGTCGTCTTATCAAATTTGAGTTCGTCAATACTTGGCTTGAGAGATTGCCAGCGTAATCTAAATTTTTGTTCTTATTTTTATTAAAAAAAAAGAATATTTAAAGAACGTAAAACATAAACACATAATTCTTCAATTTAGGTAGTTCAGCCACAAATGTACAAATTCGATCGAGTTCCTTTTATAAGTTCATCTCCATTGAGCCGAATTGAGATTGAGTATGTTGATTTTTATGTTCAAGCCGGGCTCCGGCGGAAACTTTAATGCTCAAGTCAAGTTTCGAGTATCGAGTGTGTGAGTCGAGTTGAGCTCGAATTGGGCATAGTTGTAGCTCAACTTGACTTAGATTACACTATTAAACCATTCTAATATAAAATTTAGCCTGGAACGATATCAGATGGGCCGAAATGATAACCATTTCTCCAATTATCATTTGCTAAAAATCATAAGAAAAGGACAAAATCACAATTAGCATTTTAAAAAAATACACGATAAAGCTAAGTTATTAACTATGTACTCAAAGATAAATTGTACCTAATTTAAGCAACCAAATTATAAAATAAAGTGTAAGTTTTGAATATAAATTAAATGGACAAACCACGTTGTCAAGCCAACAATCTAAACAAGTTAATCTTCAAACATGAATCAAAAGTATATGAGCCAAGAAAAGATATGAGCCATACATCAAGTCATCGTATGGAAGAAATCAACACTATGGTCAACCGTATATTTGAAACAAAATTAAATCAAATTTTATTACAGAAAATAAGTTAAGATTAGCCTCCATTCGTTTCGCGAAAAATGTGACTTTCTGGAAAATATTTTCTGAAAAGTCATTTTTTAGGAAAATATTTTCTAAAAATTATTTTTCGTTGTTTGGCTGAGACCTAAAAAAGAATTGGAAAATATTTTCCACCATTCGATATCCGATTTGATTTTCTATGGAAGATTACCAAAAAAATTGAATTTTTAATTATTTTTATTTTTAAATTAATTTTCTTTTCTTTTTCTTTTTTTTTGGTTTTCTTCCTTGGCCGGTCGCCGGTCACAACAACTACCGGCGACCGTTAATAGGCAAACTCGAGCCTCGCCTCAAGCCGGCCTCACCCAGCTTGCCCAAGTCCAATTGGGTTCAAGCGTAAAGCGGCTTGCGAACTTAATCAACTACCTTATTTTTATGTAACTTTTTTCTGTGTTGGTGACAAACAATTTTATATATTATAATATTATAATATTTCTTTTTATTATTTATATAAGTTGAGAATTGTGAATGAAGATAAAAATAATATTATGTTCATTGACTAGTGAATAGTACACAAGCTTATTTATAGGCATTACATAATGACTATCTAAAGTAACAAATCATGGAAGATATACAGAATCACATAATAATATACAGAATCACAAAATATCACAAATATATATCAGTGAGACAAGCTTCCCCCAAAACTTTTCTAGACAAGAGGCAGAGATTAAAAGAGTTCATGTAACATTTATGATATGCCTATGTTTATGTTCCACGTAGCCATTTTGTTCGGAAGTTCCTAGACATGAATGATGAATAAGAGTACCTTGTTGGGAGAGACATTTAAGAAATTTTGCATCTCGATATTCCATGGCATTATAAGTATGAAAAACCTTGATGTCTTTTGAAAAAATTGTGTTTTTATCATTACAACAAAATCACGGTAGATATGAGCAAGCTTTCATAAGATAAAGCCAGGTATAACGAGAGCAAATATCAACAAAAATGACAAAATAGCAAGAGCCTAGGTGTTGGAGAAGGTCCCCAGATGCTAGAGTGAATTAAATCAAAGGAAGCATGAAAAATAGATTCACTAAGATCAAATGGTAAGGCATGATGTTTTCCTAATTGACAAGGTAAACAATCAAAATGTTTATCAACAACAGAGCTTAAATGACTACTTGAAATCAAAGATTTTAATCTAGAAGAAGAAGGATGACCTAACCGAGAAAGCCAAGTTTCAGATGACATTGTAATAGTACAACCAACAAAAGAGTCGATAATATCTAAGGAAACAAGCTCAAATAGAGTCGATAATATCTAAGGAAACAAGCTCAAATAGGTGTCCCACTCTACGGCCAGCATCAATGATCTGCCCCGTTTGTGGATCCTGCACATGACAATCGTGAAAAGAGAAGTGAACATCAAAGCCAAGTTCACATATTTATCCAATTGAAATTAATTTAGAAAGAGTTGAGGAACTATAAAAGTGTTAAGTAAGGATAAGGTAGATGTGGAAATGTGTCCTGTACGTATGGCTGACTTGCATTAGAGAATTGTCAACTATTTGAATAGTAGGTGCATGAAAGGAAGGATTTTTACTTAAACAAATTAGAATTTGATGTGATATGATTGCAGCAAACGGAATCAAAATACCATGAATCGGAATTAGACATAGCAAGAGAAATAGAGAAGCTAAAAGTACCAGATTCTCGAAGAATGGAATGGAAATCCTCTAGTGAGAAACTGACCAACAGTCCAATGGGAGAAGTATCTATAGCAGTAGCATTGGCAAATGGATGTGCGTATGAACCTCGGCTTCGGAGTTGATTGTTTGGCCTAGTAGGTTGCTTACATCGTTATCGATATAAATGGGATGCCATATGAACATGTTGGTAACAATGCTTACAAAATAAATCCATTATATGCACTTTACCTTGTTAAAAACAATAGTTTGAACAATAAATGTGAGGAAACAGTACCTAGAGAGCAAATAAGGAGAAAATAAGCCTAAAAAATGAACTCAGCGTGTCGAAATACTTTAGGAACCGGTCATAAATCACCAAGAACCGGTCAGGAAACGGTCAGAAATGTGACGGAAACGGTCCAACTGATCCGATTGAACCGTCAATGGTCAACTGTCAAAGGTGACGTGTCAAATGACGTCAGTAGAGCAGAGGCGACGTGGCGATGACGTCAGTAGAACGGAGACACGTGGCGCGTGCAGGCGCATGTTGCTGTGGTGGCGAGTGGAACTCACGCGCAGATCCTTCTAGAGGCGCGTCAGGTGGTTTTTGGCGGTGAGACTTCACGAACTGGCTCGGCGGAGGATGGCGAGTCTTGGGTTTGTGTTTGTTTTTTGAAACACGCGGAGGAAGGCGTACAAATCACAAAGGAACAATGCCTCAGACTTATCGCCCTCAGACTCTGAAATACCGAAATTTCTGTTGGCAGAAACTGGACGCCGCCGCACACACCACCACGCGTGTCCGGTGGTTTTTGGCGGTGAGACTTCATGAGCAATGGAATTATGTTGAACAGTGACTAAAAGCTTCGTTCTTGGCGGAGAATCGATAGAGACGTTGTCGGTGTGGGGCTTGATATGCACGCCTCAGATAACGCTGGCTCTCATACCAAGTTAAGAATTGTGAATAAAGAGAAAAAATAATGTTCTGCTCATTGACAAGTGAATTATACACGAGTCTATTTATAGGCTTTACATAACGACTATCTAAAGTAACAAATCAAGGAAAATATACAGAACTACATAATAATATACGTAATCACGTAATATCACAAATACATATCTTTAACAATTTATATTCTCACCTCTTTTACATATTTTATGAGTTCAACTATTTCGAGTTGAGTAAAGTTCTTTTTTTTTTGGGCCAGAGAGTCGAGTTCGATTGAGCGAGGAAACGAGTCGATCTCGAGCATGTCAGAGTTCTCTTGGTTGTGTCGGGCTCGAGCCCAAAAGGACCTCGAGGGCAAAACGGTCATTCGAAAAATCCAGCGCCGTTCAAAAAAAAAAAACCACTCGGAATTTCATTCGCCACAAGCAACTCTTCCGAAGCCACCGACCGGCAAGGAAATCCGCCACGTCACCGATCCGCGTTTCGCCCCCCCGGCGAAAGCGCAGAGCCCCTCGCCCGCCTCCACCGCCGTCCGTCTCACGAGCCCATCTACGGTCCGCGATCTCCCAAATCCCGCGACGCGGATCGCCGCTCCCGTCCGTCGATGGCTCCCGATCCAACGGCCAACAACCCAGCTCGAGAAACACACACACCAAAAAAGAAAAGGGAAAAAAAAGAAATAAACAACAACTCGAAATTTTCCCGGATTTTTCCCCCCGCCCTATAAAAAACACGCTTCGCAGCGACACGAAGCAGGAACAGTTTTTTCCCGGATTTTCTCCAACGAAATTTTCCCCTCGCTTTCTCGAGAGAAAAAGGAGCAGAAGGATGTCGGGGCGCGGGAAGGGAGGGAAGGGGCTGGGGAAGGGCGGGGCGAAGCGCCACCGCAAGGTCCTCCGGGACAACATCCAGGGCATCACGAAGCCGGCCATCCGCCGCCTCGCCCGCCGCGGCGGCGTCAAGCGCATCAGCGGCCTCATCTACGAGGAGACCCGGGGGGTCCTCAAGATCTTCCTCGAGAACGTCATCCGCGACGCCGTCACCTACACTGAGCACGCCCGCCGCAAGACCGTCACCGCCATGGACGTCGTCTACGCCCTCAAGAGGCAGGGCAGGACCCTGTACGGCTTCGGCGGCTGATCCCCGATCTGCTTTAGCTAGGGTTCCGGCTACACGAGAAGCGTGGGGGGTTTTTTTGTATATGGAAGCGTAGGGGTTTCTGCCTTGGTTGTGTTTTAGTTGGTTTTTAGCTTGGTGGGTCTCTCTTGTGAAGCGAGATTGGGCGAGAAACAAGTGGATTTGGTGCTCCTTTCTCTCGTGTAGATCGTGTTTCTTTCGATTTTCAGTGGAATTTAATGAAATTAGTTTCCCAATCTCTCGACCCATTTCGTTTCGATGCATTTCGGTTTCTTCTTGGTGGTAAAAATTTGATCTTTGATGGTGTTTTATTAGGATCCGGGGGTTGAAAATTCGAACTGAAGAAGGGGGGTTGGGTCAAGATTCTGGAGACGTGCTTTGTTTGAATGGCGGCAGTAGAAAAAAAAAGGGGTTGGTTCGGGGAGACGCGCGAAAAGAGCGAAGACGTGCTCGTCCCAGCTAAAATTGATTTTGGTTAAAAATTGATTCGGGTCAAGAGCATTGGTTAAACGGTGTTTTACTCCACTTTCCACGTTGAATTGAGAGATATTTCGAGCTCAAAAAGGTTTCGAGTCTTATATGGTTTTTGGTGCAATTTGAGCTTGAGCTATACGGGTTTTTACGGATTTGGTGAAACAAGTCACAATTTGAACTGCTCAAAGTGCAAGCAACCCGACCCCCCAAAAAAAAACACAAAAAAGTGCAAGCAAAAATCTCAAATGTTATGGAGGGTAGAATTCGAATGACAAAAATCTCAATCGCCGGTTTGGTTTGGTTTGGTTTCGGGTAGGCTTCATTTTCGGTTTTAAAAATTGGGAATCGGCTGCGACAAGGTAAGCATCGGTCCCAAAACGGGCCTGCCTATCAACTGGGGTTCGGACAATATTTGGGGTTAGGCTGGAACTGAGCCCAATTGGATGTTAATAGAGTTTTTGGCAGAGTCTGGACTTAGCCCAATTCAAGAAAGCAGCATGCTTGCATAATGTATGGCTCTTAAGGAGTGATCTAGAGACTTTTTAATTACGAATAAAGCGATAGGACGGTACGAGATAACTAGGGACACATTTAAAGTTGCACGTTCCTTAACGCGAAATGCTAGCATATATATATATTTTTTATATCATAAGGAAGTAAGATGAGCATATGAAAGTAGGGGTGAGCGGTTCTCGATCCGGTCCGGTCCAACCCAAGAATCGGGAACCGGACCGAGAGGATCGGTTCTCAATTTCTAGGACTGGGGTTCGGACCGAATAGTCTTGGGACCGTGGACCGGACCGGACCGATAGTCCGATCCGGTTCCAATGGGACGAATCACTTATTGGTAAATGCAAGAGAGAATTGGGGAAATTAGATTAGGCTTTCTATTTTTTTCAAAAATTTTAAAAAGTAAATAAAAAAATATAAAAAAATTTAGAAAAAAATATATATTTATCGGTCCGGTTCCCACTGTAGAACCGAGAACCGGTTCCACTTTTAGGAATCGGGAACTAGACCGATATTCCCAAGAACCGGACCAAATCGGTCGGTCCGGTCTCAATTTGGGCGGTCCATCTTGCTCACCCCTATATGAAAGCGCCAAGACATCCCATGTTAGTGTATCCATAAAATGGTAATGTTGAGCTCCTTGCTGTCGAAGAAGCCATGAATTCATTGATGGGAACGAGAGATTTGGAGGAGGGGCCTCTAGAGTTGACGGCCCCTCCTTGACGATGATGGCTAGATCTCGGTGAGGTTTTCGATCGAAGCGGGCACGATCCAGTAAATGAGATAGACGATGGAGGGCAGAGTTATCCTCGTTCATGGAGGTGGATCTTGCTCGTACGATAAGGCATTACCGTGCGATACGACTCCACGGTCCACATCTTTGCTCATTGAAGGAAGTTTGAGGAAATGGATTTTGGGGTACCAAATAACCTCAACTGGACTTTGGAATTGAACCTTGAGCAACTTTTTAGAATTAGTATAATAGTTATAGGTTTGTCATTCTTTTCGGATCAAAAGTTATTACCCGTTAATCGAAGGATGCGTGATCTCTATTTTTCGAATTCGCCTTTCGAACTTCTACCTGTCTGGGAACCTTAGGAACTCAGCAGCAAAAACCCGTATGTGACACAACTCAATTACACCATTGAAAGAGAGATTGGTCCATTGAATCTTGCTTCGGTTCCGGATTTGAAAAGAAAGATGGCACCTAATCAATAGCCTCCGACTTTGCTTCTCCTAACCGAGTCGGTATCCCTTGAGCACATTTAGTTTCCCGTGATATGTCGTTTTGTGCGATAAGCACATAGAATCCACATCAAGCGAGGCTCGGAAGGAAATAGACACTATGCAATGAGCTCTATTCCGCTATGAGCCCTCCATGTCAAAAACCTCGCTCTAATCTATCCTAATTTATAAGATAGAGTCACCAAAATTCCTGCCATCAATAGATATAGTTTCTTTTGGAGCATGTTATGTAGTATTTTATTATGCTTATGATTAATAACAAAGTAAGTAATCTGCAATGAAAAATTTAGGATTGAATTGGCCATCATATAATAGGTTTATGACTTTTCGGACAATTATCCCTTAAAGGAAGGTTAGGACACGGATTGAGGCAAGAAGTAACCTCAAGCAGGTCCCTGAATTGGAGTTTTGAATCGACCCTTGAACAAGTTTCTTAAATTAGTATCATAATGATAAGCTTGTCATTCTTTTCGGATAAGGAGTTAAGACCTATTAATCGAAGGATGCGCAATCTCTATTTTCGAAATTCTCCTTCTCAACTTCTACCCCTCCGAAAACACGTTAGAAACTCATTGGAAAACCCACAAGTGACAACTCAATAACACCACTGAAAGAGAAATTATTTCATTGTATCTTGCTTTGGTTTCGGATTCGAAAACGAAGATGGCACCTAATCATAAGCCTCCAACTTACTTCTCCATACACCAAATTGGCATTCATCGAGCAAGTTTAATTTCCCGCGATACGTCGTTTCGTGCGATGAGAACACGGGATCCACATCGAGCTCCTCGAAGAGATTAAGGCTAGGAAGAAACAGGAGCCTCTCCAACGAGCTCAACTCCGCTTTGAGCCTTCCAAGTTCAAAACCCTCGCCTTACTCTATCTTAATTTCGAAGATAACGAAGACGGAGTTATTAGGTTTTTGCTGTGTCACCAAAGATAATATAAAATAGCAGGTGAATTCTCTGGAGCCATGCCGACTTTTTATTTTTTTTGGGCTCCTACCAAACATGTAACATATATATTTAATACTATAATGATTAAGACCTTTGCAACAAGGTTGATACTTGTATTCAATTGTTATTTTAAGTGCATTAAACAAATTATCCTTGACAAGAAGGTGGTTCTATGATATTGTCATGCATGTGTTATTTGGTTGGGGACTTCGCATATAAATATTCTTTCCACTCTCTTATACTTTTTTTAGGAAAAATTCTACTTCTCGTCATGAATTTCCAAATTAAGTCTTTATACTTTTAATTTATCTAATTAAGTTATTTTACTTTCACCAATTCTCTAATCAAGTCCCCCTACCAACGTCGCAATAGGACGCGGATAGATTTTTTCCGATGTGGAAGTCCACGTGAATATCAATGTTGAGAGATTTTATTCACATCATATTCCGACGTTGTCTATATTGCCTCAATTTTTCCACCCACATCCACGTGGGAATCGGCATGCTTTTTTCGTACCATAGTTTGGTGTCGTTCGACAACCTCGTTAGTTGAATTTGATTAGATGGAATTTGGTGTCGAAGACACTTGATTAGAAAATTTGCGAAAATAAAAAAACCGGATTAGACAAGTTAAAAGTGCATGGACTTCATTTGAAAACATATGCAACTACAAGGACAAAAAGCAGAGTTTCCTGCTTCTAATTTGAAAAACACCAATTGTATATTGAGCTATGCCAGGTGTAATCAAACTGATAACTAAATCGATATACTTTTCTAGAGTAGCAGAACATCTGTTGCCTTTGATTGAACATGCACAACTTCCTTTTCTAATATGAACCGCCATATTATAGCTGCATTTCATCCATTTATTGCAACGTACCAATCAAAAGGAACACAACCATCTATACAATTACCAGGAGATATGTAAGGAAAATAAACAACTTTTGACAGATCTTGAAGAGCAAAAATGATGAACACAATGGTCCTTTGACCGGAAAATTTTCCTTAATCGTATATCTTTTCACAAATAACACAATGATCTTCGATCAATCTTCCTATGACACTTCCCTCTTCAATCTTCAATCGCCTACTTTGCTTATTCCATAGATGCACCCCATATGTCCCCCCACTTAACTGCGTTATCTTCGCCTCCACCCATTTCGCTTCGGCCCGAGTCTGCGGCCACCTGAACAGACCTCCGATCCTCGTCCAATCCACCGGATAAAAAGCCATCGGCGGCAAAACCTTAAATTCGAAGCCCCCTTTCCCATTGACTTTCTCAACCACTCTAGACACCAAATAAGGTCCATTGTGTCCCCATTTGTTACCGTCGAAGGTCGAGGCGAACTCCATCATGAACTTAAGCAAGAGCGGGTGGTTCTTGTCAAACACCATCACCGCATTGTTTAATCTTGTCCATCTCCTCGATACCGCATCCACACTTTGAGCACCGATCGAGTTTCGCAACCCCGCAAAGTCCTTCAGTACTATGACGTCAGTATCTAGATACACACCACCGTATTTGAACAAGATGGCAATTCTTATCAAGTTCGAGAGATTTTGAGCTAATGGAATCTCACCCGGATCCTTCGTTCCGGCCTTCATTTCGTCGAACCAGGCCTTGGCCGGTGTGTTTTTGAACAAGAAGGGCAAATCCGGAGTTACTGCAATCACCTTGAAGCCGTGACCAAGAACGGGCTTGAATTTCTTAAACCCTAGTTTGGAATCCATGGTTCTTGATATGATCACTAAACAACCATATGGGTTTGACTTGAAGAGGCTCTCCAAGGCCAAGAACTCTCTCCTCCCGAACGACCTCGCCGGCGAGATCCACGTCATGAAGAACTGTACCGAGCAATTATTCTTCCGGCCAAAGAAACCCGTCACGCGAACATGAAATGGCCGTGTCAAGTTGTTTGACTGGAATATATCGAATTCCGGCAAGACTTTCCGGAACCATGAGACTCTCTCTTCTTCTGTGACATTAATAGGAGGAACTAGAGGTCTTATATTCTCGTACTCGTCGTCGTCTACTTTGACTTCTTGAATTTCAATAACCTCTTCATGCACGGAACGAAGTTGCAAGTGCTTGAACGTTGACTCAAGAATTCTTGCTTCTGTCTCGTGAGTTGCTCCACGAATTAATCGAGGAGTTTCTCCATTGGAACTCAAAGAACGTAGAGAATTACTTGAAAAGACAAAACTATCTTCATAAAGAGTGACCAAAGTAGCTCCAAAGGCCAATGCAGAGAAAACAAGTGATCTTGCTCTAGCCCGAAGAAGGACCCGACAACAGTTTAGCATTCTCTTAGCAATTCTTTGCAGTGTCATGAAGATTTGAGGGCAGAGAGAGAGAGAGAGAGAGAGAGAGAGAGAGAGAGAGAGAGAGAGAGAGGTAGGTCTGATAGTAGGAGTTGCTCATCACATGGTTGTTTAAAAAAATAATGGTTTGATTATCTGGCTTAAATAGGCCAAATGGCTCGTGAACCCTAGGGGCTTTAGAAAATTGATAATAACTAATTGCACCTTTTTCATAAAAAAATGATTATGGATGATAAAGATGAGATGCCAAAGATGCTGAGAAAAAACTTATTACGTGATTTTGCACCAATAGGTCAAACTTAAAAGAGTGATGCTACCTACGTAACAGGGTGTCAAAAATACCCGACCTGAACCGATCCAACTAGAAACTTTCGAGCCTTTTTGGGTCGGGTATCTCTCCAGTTCAAAAAATGTGTTTTAAAAACGGGCATGACAATGGTTCGGTTCGGGTCATAGACCCGAACCGAACCAAAACATATTTAAAACCCTTTGTCGTCACTCTTCTTCTACAGAATTTGACGTCCGCTTCCCTCTGAATTTCTCCTCCTCGTCTGCAACTCCATCACCATCTCGATCTCCCACTTTGTTGCACCACCGCTCCTAGGGATGAGCATGGTTTCAGAGTATAACTTGAGACCTGAGAACCGGACTGGTGGGAATCTGTCCGATTCCGGTTATAAGACATGCAGAGTAGGTTCTAGGTTCCAAAAATAAAGGAACCTTTCGACAGGTAGGTTTCAAGTGTTAGGTAGGTGGAACCTAAAACTTGGAACTTGGAATCTAGAACCTGGAACAAGTTTTTGTGTTTTTCTTGGTCTATATCTTCGCGCAATCTTGCGCAATCCTACGCTATTCCATTGCGTTTGATGATGAGTGTATAATTTGGAACTACTAATATGACTTTCGATTTTATGAAAGAGACTTTTATTTTATTAATGTTACATATTTTTTGTGTGTCTAAATATAAGTTGTGGTCAGTATATTGTAGAAGCAAATGGTGGTCAGAAAAGGTGATGTTTAACTGCAATTGTTCAATTAATAATACATGTGGAACTTGAGTAGACCTTGGATGTGTGACAAGGTAGGTTTCAAGTTCCAGGGTATGCATGTTAGGTTCTATATTCTAAAAAATGAAGAATTTGTTCAACAGGTAGGTTTCTAATGGAACCTATACGGAATTTGGAACCGCTCACCTCTAACTGCTCCTCCATCCTTCACACGATATCGTCTCCCCTCTATGTCTCTCGTCCCCATCTGTAGTGACCTTGAACGCGTCTTTGTCTACTCGCGCACACCATGCACAGCACGACCAGAGTCAAAGACAAGGCGACGACAACGAGCCGAGATCTTATGCTCGCCTCCGGTGGAGCTCCACGGAGATCTAGGGGTTGACTCGGCCTTGAATCTAGGTCACGATTGGGTGGGATTTAGGCTGCTCAATTGTGGCCATTGAGCTCAGAGGTGGGCATCGGGTCGTCGGCAACATTGGGGCCGAAGGACAACCGTTGCGGCATGACTGGAAACTGTAAAATTTTTGGATTCGAAATATGGTTGGGATAATTTTGGTTTGAAGTGATATGCAAATCACTCATGCTCAAAATCTTGCCCAAATCTTGTCAACAAGGACAAGAGGAAAGACGACAGATAAAGAGTATTGCTCACTTTACAACTCAAGATGTTATCTCAAACCATTGCCATGGAGGATTTCAAAGCATTTCTAGTCTATGAGAAGGAAGGAACGAAGGAATGGATCCCCCCCAAAAAAAGGAGGAGAATCGAATAACGGCACGGCCCAACCCGTTTTCGGTTCGGTTCATATTCGGGTTGGGTTTTGGTTTGGGACATAATAGACACACAGTTCACACGGTTTAGTTTCGTTTGGATCGGGTATCATGGAAACCTAACATCTGAACCAAACTATTGACACCCCCTACTACTTATGACCTTCAATTTCATATTCTTAAAATCAGAATAGTGGTCCGTACATATCGATCGATTGAGAGAAATAATGCCAAATTCCAGAAATGACAAGCATACTCATGTCATATTGCACTCACAATTGATCAATAAAAATCAATTTAATTTTCGCTTTATTGCCGACTTTAATACTAGTACTTGACATAAAGAGCGTTCGCAAAATTGATTTAAAAAAACACAGCATGTTGTCCTTGAATGTTCGTATATGTTCCGATTATTTCAAAAACGAATACGTTGGGGTACTAAATTTGTACTAGAACTTCTTTAATTACGTCTATGTCAACTTCCGTGGGATATCTAGGGTAGAGGTATGCATCGGTCCCAGTCACCAACCTAGAAATCAAATTGGACCGGACCAAATTGATCGTTTTGGTTAATGGTTAGAACCTGAGGGGACCGGTTCGGTTTTTGGTTTCTGACAGGGAACCGGACCGATGAACTGACCAAGACTTCTTGATTTTTTTTTATTTTTATTCTTAAATAAACCCTAATTGGTAAATTATTTTTTTCTTTTAATATTAGAAAACGGTCACTTGTAGGGAATAAAAAAAACCAAAAAAAGACGGAAAAAATGACCATTTTTGGTACCAACCCTGAAACGGTTCAGTCTGGTCCGGTTCCCTATTTTACAATCAGGGAACCGAGCCTATATATAGATTTTATGAAATGATTAACTAAGGTGATGTGTCAAATATGCGTAACCAAATGGAGATATGGAGAATCTCTTACATATACGCATCATAGTAAGAGATATGAAAAATCAAAGAAAAATATCCAAGATATCTCCAACATGGTTAAAGCTCAATAATGCAGATTATTGGATCTACCCCAATATGCTGATATACTAATCTATAGGAGGAACACTTTTAAGCTTTAATTAATTGCACCTTGGTCACAAAAGATGCTGCAATTATCACCAATTTGCCTTGTTCCCCGCTTGACAAGTGTGTCACTCTCACATACCCGAAAAGATATGTCCCACTTCTCAATGAGATCTTTTACATGATTGGCCTCCAAGTAAATTAAAGAGAAAAAAAATATAGTTTCTTATTAATTACATCAATTGGCCCTTCTTAATATTAAGCACATCGATTGATTTAATCACCACTTTTGTCTAAAATAATCTTGGGATTAGAGGATAATGTCTCGCCGACAGTGCATCGCCATGCATTTTTGCAGGCCCGACCATATCTTGTCTTCACTCCTATCGCCCTCCGAAACAATTCGCAAATCTCATGTGTGGACAAACCTTAGATTTAATTTAATTAGCCAAGACAAAGTAGGCCAGAATCATTTTATTTGCACGTAATCAATTTGAGAAACATTCAAAGCGCAGCCGTCTCAGTTCGACAATGTGGTGGAACCTGAATTTGAAAGGAAAAATGACGCCATGGTGATGCAATTTCCTCTAGGTGCTCTCGAAGGGCCACAGGACGGTCTGTCGGATCAAGGTTTTGGTACTTTGTGATTGACTAGATAGGCGTTCGCGGGATCCTTTGAGAGCACTTCGATAATTGCTTCTCTTCTTATGGTGTGTTTGACGGGGGAGAAGAACACTAGAAGTGCCAAAACTTATGTACGGCGCTCACTTTAGTGTCAAAAGTTTGTTTAGGATCACTTAAGTGTCACCTTTTTGAAAAAACGATCACTTAAGTGCCAATTCCGATTTGGGTTGCCGAAAATCTGACGTGGCCATATTTTATTAATTTCTCAGTCCTACGTGGGACGTCGGCGCTGACGAGGACAATATTTAATAATATTTTAATTATTTTAAATTTTTTTCTGATTTTTTTTTTCTGTTTTTTCTTTTCTTTCATCTTCTTCGTTTGGCCGGTCACCGGACACTGGCCACCGGCCATGGCCGGCCGCCTGGCCTCGCCCGGACGAGGCCGCCGTCGCCCGCCACGGGCGACGCGAGGCGCCGTCGCCCGCCGGCCCGCCGTGGCCTGGGCGAGGGCCGGCCTCGCCGGATCTGGCGAGGCCCGGCCCTCGCCGGTGGTCGCCCGGGCCACGGCGACCCTCGGGCGACCGCCGGCGAGGGCCGCCGCCCAGCGGGCGAGGCCGGCCCTCGCCAAATCTGCGGGGCCGGTCCTCGCCCAGGCCACGGCGGCCTCGCCGGCGGTCGCCGGGGAAGGCGACCCCGGCGAGGCGGGCGGCCGGCCATGGCCGGTGGCCGATGTCTGGTCACCGGCCAAATGAAGAAGAAGAAGAAAAAAAAGAAAAAAAGAAAAGAAGGAAAAAACAGAAAAAAAAAATCAAAAAAAAAATCAAAATTCAAAATTTACATGTGGAAATGCCACGTAGGACTGAGAAATTCAAAATATACATGTGGAAATGCCACGTAGATTAAAATTTTAATTAAAAAAGTCACGTATTAATTTGGCCGGAATTTCTCGCCATTGGCACTTAAGTGATCGTTTTTCTCCGATTTTGGCACTTAAGTGATCCGAAACAAACTTTTGGCACTAAAGTGAGCGCCGTACACAAGTTTTGGCTCTTCTAGTGTTCTTCTCCCGTTTGATGGTAACAAAAGTTTTTTTTTTTTAACTTTTATTATCATGGTGTGTTTTACTATTTGTATTGATTCTACCGGCACCCGTTTACATCGACATGGATCTTAACATGGCACGGCATGTTCCTTTCGTTAGTTAAAACCAATGTGCAATTTAGCTCTTAATTTGTAGGGTTAATACCACGAAAAATCTCAAACTGGTACACCTGTGATAATTTTACCAAAAATTAATTTTTTGATCACAAAAAATCCCAAACTAATATTTTGATCACTAGAAACCTCAAACCGGTACATTTATGACAAACTTACCCTCCGTTAGTTTCCGTTAAATTGAATTAATACCATAAAAAATCACAAACTGGTGCACTTGTGATAAACGGATGGTAAAACATAAAACTAGCATATCAATCAATTACCGCGTGTCATTTAACAAAGTAATTTGACCGTAAAATTTAAGAAATTTGACTGTAAAATTTAACGGAAACAAACTGAAGGTAAATTTATCACAGATGTACAAGTTTATGATTTTTTATGCTAAAAAAATTAGTTTGGAGTAAAATTGTCACATGTATATCAGTTTAGGGTTTTTCATGGTATTAACCCTAGTTTGTAAGCCAAAAAGTACAAGGTAGCAATAAACTTAATTGCTTAAATGTCGACATTATCCATTAATGTATCGAAATTTTTTTTACGTTTTCGTAATTCTATAAGCAAGTTTTCCAAAATTAAAATACTTAAAATTAAACTTGATTAATATCATCAAATCTTAGATGCTGAATTAAGAACAGTTTCACTTTTCTAAGTTGGGTGTATGTCCTCTAACTCGTTTCAATTTGCGCAAATACAAGAGTCAATTTTTAAATTTGGTTACCACCTCTTAAATTACCATAGTACCTCTCATCTAAGTTAAGTCTAACTTAGCGAAGTAGTTAAGGGAAATGACGATGACTTTTGGCAATTTTGCAATTACAACTCCACAATTTTTGGGACAATTTGAGGTTCGGAAAAAACAGTGCAATCATTCTCGAACTTTTAATTTGTAAAATGTGGTATTTAAACTTTTAGTTTATATTCAATCTAGTCAGTGAGCTAAATGAAAATGTTCGATGTTGTCCTTGAACTTGAATTAATTGAAGGGCAATATTCAACATTTTCATATAATTTAGGACTAAATTGAATATGTACATTCTCGACAAAAAAAAATTGAACATGTACCAAAATTTTAAAGTACTACATCGAACCAATTTAAAATTGAGGGACGATATTACACATTTGGCTAAAATTTAGGGGCCATACTGAATAAACTAAAATTTCAGGAGTCATAATACATATTAAGTTAAACTTCAGATATCATTTGTGTAATTTTCCCGTACTTAAGTTTCGACGATTAGCTCATTACAAACAAATCACGAGATCCGATTGGCTAATCAAAAGATGACACGTGGCGCGTTGAGGTGACGCTAGAGAGGTCCGAAATTTGGCAATCCGGGTCATCACGCAATTGATGAAGCATCCGAGTGGCGGGGACAGTCAACCGAAAAGGTGGCGCTGTCCCGCAGAGGGACCTACGATCGCCTACGCTAAGCCCCACGCTGCGCTCCCTCGAACCCCCACGGCCGATAGGTCCACCCTCGGCTGTCCATGGCCGCGGCCAATCAGGCACCGCAACGTGTCTCCCGGCGGTTCGCGCGGCTCCACCGGATAACATCGGCGCCCGCCCCACCACCGCTCGACCGATTAACTCGCGAAACACCAAAGTGCGGCGATCATCTCTCTCCCGCGAATCGCCGGGACCTTCACCGTCGCCTGAGGGGGAATCGGCGATGGCCTCCTTCGTCGGCGACGAGTCGCCCACCGCCGGGTCGGCCCGGCCCTTCGACGGCGACGGCTACGTCGGGTACGACCCTCGCCTGCCCTCGCAGCGGTTCGACTACGAAGCCGACCCGCCGCCGGTGTTCGGTGCGCCGTCGTACGGGTCGGCCGAGGACGTGTTCGGGTCCGAGGCGGCCGCGGCGGCGGCGGCGGAGTCTCCTCCTCCGGCGCCGATGTACGCGGGAGGCGGCGGGTTGTCTCCGGAGCAGAACGGCGAGGGCTCCCAAGGGGGTTTCGGCGAGCCGGACGGCCCGATCCTGCCGCCTCCGGTGGGCATGCAGCCGGAGGAAGGGTTTGCTCTGAGAGAGTGGAGGAGGTGAGCTGTGTTTCCGGTGTTTGATAGCGTTTCAATCGATGTTTACAACTGATCAATTTTGAGAGAGAGAGATTGATGAACTTGAGCTTCTCATAGACATGAATTTCATAGATCAGTGTGAATAGATTGACTACGGTATAGCTCGAACTGCGTAGGATCAAAAGTACAGATGCGTCAGTCTTTGTTCTGCGTGTTATGCTGTTGAGGATAAGTTGAAAGCACCGAAATTGCTCGCTTTTCAGAGTAATCGTAGAATAGGAATGAATCGATCACTCCTTGTTTGTGTAATTGATGAAGACTTGGGATGCAATTTCCAGGTTAAATGCGATCAGGTTGGAGGAGAAGGAGAAGAGGGAGAAAGAGCTGCTGGTGGAGATCATCGAGGAGGCGGAGCAATACAAGATCGGATTCTATCGGAAACACTGCATATCCGTGGAGAACAGCAAGTCTTCCAATAGAGAAAGGGAGAAGGTAATGAATTCATGCAAATTTCCTTTTTTCGGCGAACACTGTGATCCTGTGGTAGAACAGATCAGTTGATTGACATATGAATCTGAGCTCGTGCGCAAAAGACAGTTCTTTCGTTCTCCTTTTTGCTCAGGTATGCTTAGTTGCATCTTGCAAGTGTTTTATGCGATCTAACTCGAATTGGAAGGTTATTTATACTACAAAGACTAAAGGCTTAGATTCCTTTCGGTCGATGTCAGGATTTATTCCCTTCGTTTCGAATGATGAGAGATCACAAAACCTTGCCAGTTTACCTTTTCTAGGAAAATAGATCATTTGCAGAGAACTCTTTTTCTTGAGGACTCAATGTTTGCATGATGGACTAGACCGATGGAAAAGAGTATCCGCTATGCAAGAGGTCCAACTGTTGGATTTGGTTGGACATAATATTGAATTTTGATTGTTTCTAAATGTTTGTGAGAGATTGTAGCAGCCACAAACATCCTGTGGGTCTGTAAAAATCGGTGAACAGTATATCATATGGATCAGCCTTTTGTAGTTACTATAACTCCTTTCTAAGTTGAGCCTTGGTTGTGTTCTTGATAAAGTTTGAGGAGAGCTAAGCATTTAAATACCTATTTTATTTGCATCTCATACTTGAAAATAGAAATGGCAAAAGCTCATGACACTATCTTTAATATATACATTCTTTTTGCAAAAGATGTTGTAGAGCCGAGCATAAGTATTGAAGCTCTATTGTTCCGCTTCCTGGACTCTTTCACCTATTAATGGTATGACTTCTGTATGCTCCTTTCTCATGTATCAATCTTGTCCGTGGATGGCAAGCTTAGAAGCTTCTGATGTAAGACTCGTTTTTGGTAGTCTTCTACATACTGGATTGATAGGATACCAGGAAGCAAAAAGTTTGGAAAATAAGGACGGTGCATAGCCTCCCTTTCTTTTGTGTTAAAGATTCTAACCCAAAAACTTAAGTTATTAGCTTGAGGAAGCTGTATGAATATTTGGCACAAGTATCGTATTTAAGCAATGTAGGATATACTTTAGCACCCCTCATGTGCAAACCCTAATAAAATGCTTGTGGAGCTAAAGAACGGGAAATGAGATAAACAGGAATCATGCGCGAAATAAATGATAATTGGGGCATGAATATGGAACCAGACTCCGATACGTTATTGAAAAGCTCAATCCAAAAGATTAAATTATTAGTCAGATTGAGACTACTTTTAACATAAGGCTCACCACAATCACGTATTTAAGTGACATTGGATATACTCTTAACACTTTGGAGCTAGATTCTTCTATTTAGATGTTGTGCAGTCATTTGATTTTTTTGCCATATATTTTTGTTGCCAGTTATTCTTGGCCAACCAGCAGAAGTTCCACGCTGAAGCCGAGAAGGACTATTGGAAGTCAATTGCAGACCTCATACCTCGTGAAGTTCCAACAATTGAGAAAAGGGGGAAGAAGGAGAAGGAGAAGCAGCCCTCCATCATGGTTATGCAGGGGCCGAAACCAGGGAAGCCAACCGATCTCTCAAGGATGCGTCAGATAGTTATCAAGCTTAAGCACAATACTCCTCCCCATATGAAACCTAACCCACCGGAAGCAACAGAATCTAAAAAAGATGCTAAACCCGGTGCACCGGCCGCTGGTGCAGCCCCGGCTGCTCAAGCTTCCCCTAAGGCTGTTGTAGCGGCAGCTCTGAAGGTTTCATCTACTGCTTGAGCGCTCTCGGTGTGGACCTGCAATTTGTGGTTGCTAGTATTGCAGAGTTATAGTTCGAGGTCAGGGATGTTAAGTTCAGGGTGTAGTAAATCATAGAACATCAGTTTTATGTGCATCTTGTATAGATTCAGTCCTTTTCTGTGCAGAATGTAGAAAAAAAACTCTAGCTCTTGTACTTTTGGTATCAGTTTTGTCAGGCTTAATGTTCTGGTGTGCGTTTGTGTTCATATGGTCTCTGCTTATAAAATTTCTTGTCCTGTATCATGCTGTTTCAAGTTCTAGTTTTCCTCCTCCAGAATTTCGCTTTGTTGGTTTTATGTTTTTATGTTGAGTATTCCAACGGCAAAGGTATGTGAAACATAAAACTACTGAGTCCATTACATATTAACATGTACCGGCAGAAAATAGATTTGCTCGTAATTGATCATTATTCTTTGTCCGAGGCGTGGTTCTGATATCTTCACTTCAACAAGGGCAGTACATGGTTGCTCTATCGGTGAAAACTCGTCCATTAGCGTTCTTTGCAAATCAGATGACACAATCCTCCTAGCAGAACCGCGGTTACTGTTGGCGAAAGGCTTTCGGTGCCGAGGGACGGTTCTCGGATTGCTGATTCGGAAACCTCGCGCCTTGCGATTGGAACCGAATGTGGTGTCAATGTGCAATTAATCGTTTCGAGTTTCAAAAGGTTCTTGTAGCTGGTGGCTCATTTATGATTACTAGCATCATGGTTTTCATAGGAGGAAAAGCCAACCATAGAAAAAACCAAACCAATGCAGACATAGATGTAATCGCGGAATACGTATCTTCATCCATTGACGAGAAGAGAGCAGTCAATACCATGAAACGACTTTTGTTTTATTGGTGAACCTTATCTCGATGTCATACAGATGAATGAATCAACAATGCCTATACATAAGTTCTAAAGAGTGATATTCACCGAAACGAAAAATGTTATCTAGTTATCCTCAATCCATATGCACTCTGGTACCTACTCACACAGAAACCGATTCTTACTCAGAGCATCATTAGCACGAAGAGATACCCGGGAGTATGAACAATTGCCAAGTAAAGGTTGGGGAAAAATTCGGGTACTCGGGTTTCGGTGCTGCGCATGTTCATTTAATAACAAGTGACTTAATCATCATCTCGGAAGTACTTGGCTCACACCGTGGAAGCTACTTTGAGTCAAGGCGTCCTGTGGGTTGGGCACCTGCTTACCCTTCTGGGCCTGAGAAGACGCTGACGAACTAGCGCCACCGCCAGCTAATTGCCTAGTGTAATTCCTCCTGAATACGCCGGGCTCCGTCAGCAACTCCTCTTTAAGGCTAACATTTTTTGAAAGCATCTCCACCACTTGCTTCATAGTCGGTCTTTGGTTCGAAACTGCTTGAGTGCAAAAGAGTGCGACCTTGATGTAGCGCAACACCTCATCTTCCGGATATTCTGCCAGCTCTGGGTCGACGATGTCTAGAAGTCTCTGTTCGTCTTTTAGTTTCCACGTCTGCTCGGAAATAAGCATTAGTCAGCATATGCACAGACCAATCGATGCAGGGTCTGAGGGAGGGATGTTATACCCATATCATAAGCCATTCCAATCCATAAAAAATTGAAAAACCAAGACAAGGGACGAGCTGCAATAACATATACGCAATCTTGTCATTTCAATTTAAAGCATTAGAACTAATCTCAATGCACGGCTTCTTCCCAATGCTAGTGATGCTACACTTGTCAACTCAAACTTGCAGATGGTCCCCAACATTGAATCTTGTTTCTTAGACATCAAGACGAAAAGGACACTATCTAGACAAATTTCTGACACTCCAACAAAATGAATGCCTTTGGATGAACAAGCCTGTTTGATGCTAAAAAACTAGATGATTATTAACTACTCAATTATTGACCATATGTCAGTATACCAGTATTATACTATTATTGTGCTCATTACAAATTTATACACCGCTGTGGCTAGTACAACTTCAATCCTAAAAGATGCAAAACTGCTACTGTAAGTTAGAACACTTTAATTAAGGGTCTCGAGTTGCTATAGAATTTCATCCATGCTCCTGATAAAAAAAATGCATAAGAAACACAGGTAGATCATCTGAATTGTGAACTTTTCTGTACTTAGTCCAGAAACATACCCATTCCACCAAAACCATGAGTTCCTCCCCAAAGGCGGCTTTGCTACTACTTCTGCCGCTAACGATTTCGAGCACAAGTATCCCAAAACTGTACACGTCGGCCTTCCTCGTCAGCTGGCCTAGGAGGGCATATTCTGGAGCCAGATAACCTCTGTGAGCAACCAAAAAAAGACAAATCACATAGCCATAAAGCCATGAGGTTAAACAGAACAAAGTTCAACCGGACAATGTGTGAGTTAACTCAATAGTGATCTCACATAAAGGATATGTGGTCAAAGGCACGAGACATGTATTTCAGAGAGAAGGATACTATTTCTGGTGAGTTCATTCTTTCCCTGAAAACATCCTAAATGATTAAACTAAAAAAACATGAGATGACCACATTTGTTGCGAGTGCTAACTATACATCCGGTTTGATCTACTTCAAAAAAAAAAAGAAAAAGAAAAGGAAAATGGGAAAAACCATGCATTCCGGTTAAGAATAGTCACCTTAGTAGATTCTTAGAAAACCTACACCACAAGTATGAACTGTCTGCAAAAGTTCCGAGCAAGAACATAGCCTATGCAAGCCTTGAGGGATATGAAGCACAATAACAATTACTCTTACACTGTTCCTGCTACGCGAGTGCTCACATGGGTGACATTGTCTGGGAATAGCTTTGCCAACCCAAAATCTCCGATTTTTGGATCAAGGTTTCCATCAAGAAGTACATTACTGGCTTTAATGTCTCTGTGGACGATGGGCGGTTTGGCTTCTTCATGAAGAAAGGCAAGGCCTGATGCCGTACCCAGACAAATCGCAGCCCTCTGAGGCCAATTCAGAATGACATGTTTGCTTTTTGAACCTGCATTACAAAACTGGGAATTAACACAAGTTGAATAGTTGAATCTCTTTGTGCTGAAAATTTATTTAGGAAATTGTTGTTCAAGTCAAGAAAAGATGTCTGTTCAATCACTTAAAAGTATCACAGACTTTGAAATATACACCAAATCAGATATATGAGAATCACCAAGTAAAACACTAGCGAGGCTGTTGTTCTCCAGGTACTCGTATAGCAAAATTCGATTCTCGCCCTCCACACAACAGCCAATGAGTTCGACGAGGTTTGGATGATGAATATTCGATATCATGTTGATCTCTGTTAGGAATTCATTCGTTCCTTGCTTAGATTCTGCTGAAAGGGACTTAATCGCAACCTGAGTACCATCTCTCAGAACTCCCTGTGACACCATGCAAAATAACTATCAAGTATCAACACCTAAGGACATTCTTTGCTGTCCCATGATTCAACAGATAATTCAATCGGCTCACCTTATAGACAACTCCAAAACCACCTCCTCCAATTTTATTTGACGGATGGAAGTTCCCGGTTGCCGATCGTAATGAATGATAAGAGAAAAGCCTCACGTTGTTGGTCGGAATCTCTGTTACAGGCAAAAAAAATTACAGAGGAACAGTAGAAAACAATCAGCTGACTTCGACACCATTCCGTGACATGGTATATTTTAGGATACAGTTAAGAAAAGTCAAAACTTGCACTAATGAGTATCTTGATTCAGCTGGCATACTCCTCTACGAGCATGGTTTGTTTCTTATTTGACCTTTGCTAAGCATAGAATGCTGCAAATTGAAAGTCGAACTACTGAGTTACTTTTGCAGCCAGTCTGTTTATGCATCAAAAGGAAATATGCCATTAATTTTGGCCAGTGACTTGACTTAGGTACACGTATACCAACTCGAAAATTGCAACTGAAGCCACAATCATAAAGACTACGGTTTTGACCAAACTTGCCTTTCGATATCATGAACTCGGAACCAGAATCGCGCTTATTAAGCAAGAACACACTTGTTGCATAGAGTGCCCTCAAGAAACATCGGAACGAATACTCTGATAACGTGAGGATGAGCAGAAAATTTCTTTCTTTGCCCGAAAATTTTCACATAAACCAAATTTTCATATCCTCGGAAGCTCTCAGAGATGATGGTGGTGATGATGCCAATTAGGCATCATCCAGACATCAGTCAGCTTTCATTCGAATTCTTTGCTCAAGAAAACCCCATGTTAAAGAAAAAGAGAGAGAAAGAAACAGCCCAAGATGTTAAAAAAGGAGAAGAGTGAGATTTAATCATCCTGCATTTGAAAATTGAAAGTACAAGAACTTTTGGCATGCTTACCATCTCCCTCGGCCTGAGCTGGGCTGCTATGTCTTTTACAGCTCCTGAACCCACCAAAGCAGCCAAAACTCATTGCTTTGCACATCTCTCTACATGTAGTTCCCAGCTACCTCCATGCTTCACCTCATCCCCTTGTCCTCTCCACCCTAAACAGACCCAAAACACAACCGAATAGCTTTTCCAAATTCAGCAAATCCACGCTCAAAACTTGAACAAAGAAAAACAGGAGGAGCAGATAAAGACGAGTAAACGTCAGTTACTCTGACCTGACTTCCAAACTGCCGAAGAAACAGAGCCAGAGGTTGGGAGAATTCGCAGGACAATCTGCAGAGACAAAGAGTGAGCAGTAGAATCTGTATTTTGGAAAAACAAGATCCGTATGAATACCTCCCTTCTTTCCCTGCCGGTAATAAATGGGAAAGAATACGCGCAGCAGAGAGATTGCCCCCCAAAACATTTGACAATGATAAGACAGAGAGAGGGGGGAGGGGTAGTTCTACAGTTTACCAAGGACAGAACGTCGCAATACAGCGATTAACGTGTGAGGTTTACTTCACCGGCCATCAAGAAATTCAGAGCTTCGTTTTCAAAGCACACCCATGTAGACACCCCCCAAGAGGAGGAGGGGTGGCTGGAAAAAAACAAGACAAAAAGCTTTGGACTCCATCAAATGGACGTCATTGATGGCGACTTCTCTCGGGGTCCCCTCTAGCTGTTTTCCGAGGGAAAGTTGCTGGAGACGGCCGAACCCTTTTCACATGATCGGTTCCATGGGGGAGTCGGCAGATGTGGGTAATCGATTCCGTGCAGAGATTTGCTCCTATGATGGCTTCAGTGCGACCCACGCCCACTTCTTCAATCTTCCACCTCAACCACCCCCACACGCCCTCGAGGCAAGGTAAAAGCTCCTGCCAGAGACGACCCTCGTACCTCGTTTCTTGCTCATTTAAGAATAGTACTAGGTGCTGACCCAAAAAAAAAAAGAACAGTACTAGGTAGTCTTCTTCAGTATGTGATGACTGATGATAATTTTTTCGAATAGCTTAGCAACATTGTATCAGTAAATTTCCATTATCTCATCAGTAGTTTTCTAACTTAGCGAATCATAAATTTTTTGTAGAATTGGTCACCCCGAAAAAAGCAATCTAAAATGAAGAAACCGGGCTCGTCTTTTCGACGAAGACGGATTTTTTTAAGTGAATTTTCAAACATGCCTCGATTAATTATACGAAAATCTCGAACCCCGCTCTCAAAACCAAATTAGTCATTAACAAGTATACTAGTGAGGAGCAACATGAATTACCCAAGTGGCATGGTACACTTTTAAGAACGGTGGAACAATCATAACTTGAATTCGAGGTCGCCACCAACGAAAAGCCGAGCCAACGTGTATATTTTATAAGATTTTCTCGGCGGCACCCGAAACCCATCTTGCAACGTGGAAGCTAATCATAAGCCCAGTATAGTACCAGGGGATCGGAAATTCGAATTAGCCCAGAAAAACTGTGATTTTCAAATAGTTTCCTAATGCTTGACATAGCCATTCCTTCTCAAGAAAAAAAGAAGGTTTAATATCAAGAAAAATCCCAAACTGGTACACCTGTGATAAATTTAGCCTCTATTAGTTTCCATTAAATTTTACTATTAAATTGCTAAGTTGGATGACACGTCCATTTATCACAGGTGTACCGATTTTTGATTTTTCCTGGTATTAATCTAATTTAATGGAAACTAATGGAGGGTAAATTTATGACAAATGTATTAATTTGGGGTTGGGGTATATTTGTCACAAGTGTACCAGTTTGGGAGTTTTTTGTAGTCAAAAAATTAGTTTAATGTAAATTTGTCACAGTTGTACCAGTTTGAGATTTTTCGTAGTATGAACCCAAAAAAGAATGCGTGCTTCATAGAAAAGATTAATTTTCTTTGGGAAAAAAAAAAAAAAAAAGGGAACTCCTCGTGCCCATTTTTCCTTTCTTTCTTTTATCAGTTTTGCTCGCTCTATGTTCAGATTGTGACGTGCGGGTGACGCGAGCAACGAAGGACATGCTGACATGTGGATGCGCACTGTTGTATTTTCTTCTGACAAATGTAAAGCACACCATGACTGGGGAAGTCAACGTCCTGACAAATTCAGTTGAACTGCTACTGATTGAGAATTTATTTATTTTTATTTTTATTTTTTGCGGCTGCACCGAATGAAATTATTATTAGGGTAGTCTCTCTCTCTCTTGCGACAATGAAGTGATGTGCTTTTGATGACAATACACATCAATATGGGAAAATTTACGTGTTAATATCACGAAAAGCTCCAAATTAATATATTTGTGATAAATTTACTTCAAATTAATTTTTTAACCACAAAAAATCCCAAACTGGTTCACTTACGACAAATTTACGCTTCATTAATTTATGTTAAATTTTACTATTAAATTGCCTAGTTAAATCACTCATGGCAATTGGCAGATGTACGAGTTTGGAGCTTTACCCCCCATTTGTTACAGGCGTACTAGTTTGTGATTTTTTTTTTATATTAATCCAATTTAAGGGAGGATAAATTTTATCACAAATGTACCAATTTGAGGTTTTTCGTGGTCAAAAAATTAATTTGGGTTAAATTTGTCATAAGTTATCGATTTAGGATTTTTCGTAATCAAAAAATTAATTTGGGGTAAATTTGTCACAGGTGTACCAGTTTAAAGTTTTTCGTAGTATTAATTCAAAATTTGGTAGTCTCTCTCTATATATATGTCCACGCTTAGATAAAAGTACAATTTCTCACTTCTTACTTTCCCTCGACAAAAAAGTTTGAGAATGGGAAAAATATCAAAGTTTTAGAAACACATGAGACAACAATGTAACATATGATTTAGATGTGTTTAAGCAAAAAATCAAGCTATCTTGACATGTTGCATTTGGTGGTAAAAAAAAAACCATGCAAATGTAACATATTTCCCTCTTCTTTTTTTCTTTCCAATTACGTCGTGGCTCATCGATCAAACCAGTCGATCAACGGGAAAAGTCAAGAAATTGTTTTTTGGACAAAAAAGTCGAGAATTTTCTTTTTGATTTATTCTACTCTAACTCTCAACTTATTCTCAAACTTTTGCCTTGCCTTTTTGCAGAGTGTGGGAGTCGAAACCCACATCTTAAACTAAACGTTCCCATTACTAACCCCCCTTGAGAAGGTGGGGAATATCTCTCCCTTCCTAAGTAGGAAGGATGGCCAAAAGTCCAGAATTGAAAGATTGAAATAATTCCAATTACGTCGCAACTTATGATAATTGTGAATAGTGATATAAAAAAAATAGCTTTTACTTTTTTCACTAATGAAAAAATATATATTGTTCCTTGCTCCCTTCAACCTATAATTTTAGATCTGCCATTGTCCACCAATAACACCATCATCAAGCACGAGTCCTAAACCTATTATATGAATATCAATTCAATGATAAACTTTTTAATTTTGCCAATTTAGTTGTCGATTTTTGCGATCCAGTTATCACGGGCCGTCTTAAGTGGCATATTGCCGCGTCAGCAAAGTTGGAAAGTTTAGAACTGGTTGGACAATTCCCCCGAAGCATGACCTATGGTCATTGTCTAGTCTAGGTTAATTAGTTATTATTCCATGGTTTCCATGTTGGTGGGTGTTGGCGAAAACAAAAGATAACTCCACTTTTTTTTTCTTTTCTTTATCTTTCTTTTTCATGGGGTTTGGTCAGAAAGGAAGGACCCAACTCCAAAGTCCTTGTTACTTCGATGAGTTCAAAGCTCTCCATTAATATATCTCATTATTGACCAAAACACTTGCTCATACATCCAATGAGAAAATTCTCAATTTTTTTTTAAACTATTTGTTAAGAACATCGTGGGATAATTCAGCAAAGTTGACTACTGTAGCACTGCATTATTTAATTATTTAACAAGTATCCAAATAATTTCTTAACGAGATAATGATACAAATAGTCTCTAAACTTTGACATAATGTGCAATGTGGTCCCTCAAACTTTAACTAAATGTGCGATATCATCCTTGAACTTTTAATTTGTCCAACGTGGTCCATAGACTTTTGATACATGTTCAAATTAGTCCTCGCACTATATGAAAATATTCAATATTATCATTTCATTAATTCAAATTCAGAGACAATATTAAACATTTTCATATTAGTCCGGAGACTAAATCGAACATATATCAAAAGTTCAGGAACAACATTACACATTGAGCTAAAGTTCAGGGACCGCATGAACTAATTAAAAGTTCAAGGACCACATTACATATTGAGCCAAAGTTCATAGACCATTTGTGCCATTTTCCCTTTCTTAATAAAAATCCTTTTCAAAATTGAAGTCCCTTGGATTTAACAGGCCCCATTAGATCAAAGGAACATGAAGAATAAAAAAATGTCCGGTGTGGTCCCATTAAGCTGGACACCGACAGCCGTACGTTGACGTCTCGGACAATCGAAATTGTTCGTGCCGGCAGCTGCAAATTAGAAAGTCAAGACACGGGGAGAGTCAGAAGTCAACGATGATGGTAAGATTCCTCTTTCCATGTCTTAATCATTCGTCATTCTTCAGCCAAAGAAGAAATTTTTTTCTGGGGGTCATGCATAGGGCCGATGCCGCGAACACGCATGCACAGCATCGTGCCAAAAGACAATTTCATTTTCCACGGTCCAACCTTTCGCGGTCGTCGCAACATTTTCCCACGATGAGGACGAATAAGGGAAGAGTACGCATGTTTCAGAGAGCATCTAGCGTAGGAGACGGGGGGGTTGGACTAGATTGAGACGTGGGTACTCATTTTTACAACACGGGCACGGGGCACTGCGTGTTAAAGCTCAGATGGGCCCGAAGGGAGCGGGTTCGATGCCCTTCGAACAATACAGTTGCGAGAGAAATCGATTTCGCCGATTCGACGGAACCAAATGGGAAGCTAAACAAGCAGAGAGCTAACACAGAAGTCCAGATTTACCGACTCAACAAGCAGAGAACCGAGCAACTTACACGAACACCAGCCATTCCTGTCACACAAGGGAAATTCCCGGTTTGAAACATGTCAACCCAATTACAGAAGCCAAAAGGTTCGCCCCTTGAAGGCCAAGGGATGCGGAAACGGGCGGTCGAATTCAGACAAACAAGACACCACCCTTGGATGTAACAATTTCACAACCAAGCAAAACTAAAAGTTTATCGAGCACGATCCCGGGTTTGTTCTATTTTGCCTGACCAAAGATTATTAAGTCGCGAAGTCCGCTTCGCAATCAAAGTGAACCCGAAAGTTGGTCCACAAGCTAAAAGAAAATCTAGATTTCACCGTGTCATACACAACAATTTCAGCCAAAACCAAAAGGAAAAACACAAAACATCAGGTTTCAATACCATATCCACTTTGCTCTTAATGCTGTTGTTTTGGGCTTGGGAACTTCAAATCTGCAGAGAAGAGAATCATCGTTTGCTTGAAGCAGTTCAATCAAAGTTGAAAGCCCAAATCTTCTTTTTTGGGCAACTAATGACCAAAAGATTCTTTCTGATTTCAGAAAAACATACAATAATAAAATAACCATATGGGAATAAAATGCACAAAGTCAGTCTCTTCAAGGCATGACAAGAATTGGAGGAGCAAAACACAGACTGTTCACTGAGATGTGTTCAGTAAAATCCAGAACATCCCAAGTACAAGAGTACAAGTAAAAGAGACTCGGAATGGTAATTATAACAGTGCTCAAGACGATGAGTGAGCACTTGTGTTTTAGAAAATAAATGAATCAACAGATGCCTAACATGAACATACAACAAATTTCCTCCAGTTTCTCCAAAATTGTTGACTGATCTCTTGAAATACAAAATTGGTGATATGAAGCAGAAGAAAGGAGTAAATCCTGAACTGACAACAGCCTGTTTTACACCAGAGCATTTCAAAGAAACTAAGAGTATAAAACAGGGTTGATGCTTAGAAGAGGCAACCCATAAAATGATCAACAAAATCACTCCAGCCTCAGTAGAATTCGGGCCTATCTTGTAAGGAGGAAAGTGGACGCTGATTAGTTTCTCTTTCAACGCGACCCATTCTCTGAGGTGGCCACACAACATGGGTCACTCTTCCACGAATCAAACCTAGAGGGATCTGCCAATGGAAATGCATCAAACCCATAAAATGAAATGAGAGATTTCATCTAGACCACATTTAGATTGCATGAACCACGTGCAACTAAGCCTCCACACTTCATCAGAAGCACGTTGACATTATCCACAGAGAAGAATCGACATAGCATAAATGTAAACTTTAAGGAATAGGCAAGTTGCATAAGTAAACACCCAATTCCTACAAATTATTACGAAAAGATTGTATCTAAGCAAAGGGATCAATGCAAGCGCAAAAAGTCTTAAAAGTAAATATAAAGCTACACATCTAAGGTACTGATTATTTATAGCATTTCTCGGCTCAATCGGCTCGCATGTTGAAAACTCCAGCCACTAGTTGTTCCAAAAACATAATGTTATATCATGCAAAACTTTCTCCACAGTTTTCAGAGAAATTGTTCAAGTAGCTTGACAGATCATAAACTTTTTTTAGCATCCATGGTGGCAACTTGTATGCAACTTCTCCATCCTATTAAGAAAAGAAAGTCTAGAAGATCATTGAGAAAACAAAAATTCCCACAGGACATTCATCTTGTCATTACCGAATCACAACTTTAGTGGCTAGTCCAATATGAATCAGATAAGTCATGATATGGAAATTTATATGTAAGAAGAGACTGCCAACTCACCGGGCCAAAGGATCTTGAATCCAGACTAGAAACAGAATTATCTCCCTCAACCCAAAAGTGTCCTTCCGGAACCTTCAACACATCATCCAAATTGGGTGTTCCTATCCAGTCACCTGGCAATCCTATTATCCTCTTTATGTGTTTCTCCTTGTGATTGTTAGGCGAGCTGCAAGAGATTTCGTTACAGAAGTAAAATTGACGCTTGAAAGAGTAGTTACACAGATGATCACCACATTTCAATGTACTTAAAATTCACCACAATCTTGATAGAAGATGAAGATTGACAAAAAGAGGAAATTCAATGATAAGCTCCCCTGCTATTTCCAAGGAATTCGATTCTAAAATCAGAGAATTGAGATCCCACATCAAAACCATTTTTGACACAACAGGTTCTAATACAGCTAATGAGCTATTATTATATTCTAATAGTATGATGAGGTCTTCAACATCAAGGGTGTAGCCCTTCCTAGCTTATGCCTTGGATCTCAAAGATTCATCAAGGGTCCTCATGTGCATAATGCCAACAAGTGGTTTATATGGCATCAGAATTTCACATATCATGTCTACAGCATGTTTTGCTCCATGGATCTTGTAATTGTGAGATGATATAACCAGATCAGATAGCACAGGTCCCAAGCAGTGAGGCACACTGATTTTGAAATACAAATTAAGCAACAACAATGGGAAAGCGAGAGCTACCTGAAGACTACAACATCGCCATGTGAAAATCTGTACTTGTCAAGGCAGAATTTCTCCACCAACACATAGTCATCTGCACTGAGAGCAACTATCAGTCAGCATCATAGACACTTAGACACAAAAAGATAATAAATCAGCTCACCACAATTTGAGTGATCCTGAGCTCATAATGTTTCAAATAAAATATCTGTAGAAACATCAAAGGACACTGGTACCTAACTGGTGTCACTTCTGGGATTAAATGCAGGAGACATAGAGGAGCCACGAACAGACACTATACTTGCATATCGATCTGAAACAGTAAGCCCAATCAAACCCACTGTAAAATACTTCTTTGTGATATCCCATAAAAGGCTTCGTGTTCCCATAGCAAAGTCCTGTTGTGAATAGACACACTTCATGAACTACTCTCAGCCATCTATATCGTGCAGTATGATCAACAGCAAGCACCACATGAACAAGAAGAAACTTAGACATGTAGCTCATAAATAATCAGTACCTTCCCACACCTAGGTGAGATATGAAATCAACCAACCAAGGCAACCACCAACGGCCACAATCAAATAATGGAACCTTAGGAGAGGATTCAAAAAGAGCAGCAACACCGAAATCAATGTGGAAAACCCTTTCCATGCAAAAAGGAGAAAAACCACGGCCAACGGATTCTACTAATCAAACAAGAAATGCATCATCACAGGCAAGATATTGGACAAGGACGAATAATAAAAGGCGTATGCGTAGCTCCGTTGACAGCAAAGAAAATTCAACAGCAATCCAGGATTCTTGTGCATGAAATTTGACCTGTGCAACAATTACTCAAAGTCGACTTTACTAAAACCGAGCCAAATATCTGTATGACATATCTCACCATACTCAGAAATAACAGAGAAGACGAGCTACATATCCATAAAGCATCACCGAGCAACAAACGTAGCCATATTTCCCCCAACGACCCCGTAACATCACCACCATTTCACATCAAAATAGGCCAGACAGGCCTTGACTCAAATTCCATAGCATACACAGCCTAATCGCCATCTACTGGGGAATGCACAAGCGGAGAAAACAACTAAAAGCTCAATCAAATCCAACGCCATGATCAGAGACGGAACCAAAAGCTGGCAACCCAGTAGAGAAGAGGTCGAAATCCGAACCGTCGTCGAATACCCACGTCCGGAAACCAAGCAAATACCAAAACTTTCCACGAAAGAAGCGAAATTTCGGAGCATCCGAGACGGATATGCTGAAATCTTGCGACGCGGCCACCTCGGGGAAAACTGTCAAAGCAAGTGATGTAAAAGAAGCTCACCCAATTGGGTTGTGCTGCCAACGACAATGGACTCTCGGTGATTGGCGACGAATCTTGAAAACTGTCACCAGAGAGAGAGAGAGAGAGAGTTATACAGCTCCCCACTGATCGGAGCTGCGCGACGGCGGGAGCTACAGCAACGAACCGGAGACTGAAGCGTGAAGAAGGGTGGCCGCCATCTTTGTTATGCGGCTCCCGCGACTAATGAGAGCTTCGCGACGGCGGGAGCAACTGCGACGAACCGGAGACGAAGCGTGAAGAAGGTCGCCGCCATCACCATTTTTCTTTTTCGCCCATTTACTTTAGATTAATTACGCTAGGTCCCCCCCCCCCCCCCCCCCTTTTTCTTAAGACAAAAAGGGAAAAAGTCACAAAAAAAAAACCTTAAATTATGCTGATCGTGACGTATTTACCTTAAACTTTTTCACATCACATATAAATTCTCAAACTTGTACTTATGCAACGCATTTACTGTCGGTTAAGATTGCGTTAGATGATTTTTCGAACAAAACAACGTCGTGTTCATGTCAACACTATTTGCTTTCTAACGTTTTTGTAGCATATTTTTAACGGTTCTCATTTACAAAATTTTGACGGATGATAAATGTGTCACACATGTACAAGTTTGGGATTTTTTGGGTAACAGAAAAAAATTTAGAGTAAATGTGTCACAGTTGACATAGTTTTGATTTTTTATGATTTTTGCCGTTGATGCTTATCATAAAGTAAAATGTAATTTTTGCTTTTTTGTCAAAATTTAATAAATTATAATAGCTATGAGAAAATTACTCGTGAATTGATGTGTAAATATTTATTTATTATGAAATTTTCAAATTTATTATATTAGAAAAATTCAAAGTGTGTTTGCCACGAGATTTAGATTAAGTAATAAACAAAAAGTAAAAATTTTTGCAGACACATCTGACTTTTCTATACTATGTCGAAGGCATTACATAGAAAAAAGAGAGACAATACCAATAACATACCTCATTTTTCACCTATTAATCACTTATAGTCTCTATTATTGAAAACATCAAATACATACCTGAATATTACCTTTCATGACCATTTTACACCTTCACTTCAATTATCCTAGTGCCCCTACTTACGAAAATAGCATTTTCTTTCTAAAATGTTTATCCCAAAACCTAAATTCTCACATCCAACAAAAACCCTTAAAACCATCTAAAACTCAATTACCAAACTCGGAAAAGTCACCAATCGAGTGTTTAAATATATTGTATGGATATCAATTCAATCTAAAACTTTTCAATTTTGTCAATATAGTCCTAAATTTTTTGCATAAAATTCCAATGTAATGTTTCCGGCTAATTATCGCTGGAAATCGTTAATTTAGCGATACATTTAAGATATTATTTTGAATAAAGTTATCCATGTTAGCATGTTACGTAAGACGACCAGCAATAACTAGATGAAATGTCAGCAGTTTACAGCGGCTTTTGACTGGAAGGACTAAATTAGAATTTCGCACAAAATTTTAGGACTATATTACTAATATTGAAAAAATTTAGGTCTAAATTAAAATCCGTAAAATAGGTTTGTGATTGATTTTGGTAATTATCCTCCCAAACCACAAGCGATATACTAAAATGATTTTGTAGGAGTGATAATTTGGCCTTTTTAATGTGCAATTTTGCATGGAGATATATGGATGATATTTATCAAGATAAATATATGTAAGCGATCATTAGGTTAAATGAGAGGTATATTTTTTATACTTTCCTTTTAAAAATTAAAAAAAGAATATCATCCCTTGTTGATGATTTTTCAAAATAGTATTATATTGTGGCACTTTGTATTGAAAATAAGATGAAGTGTTATGACGGCATTGCATTCAAATTGTTCGAGTGTTACAAAAGGGCCCCCATTGGAAAGGTAGTCACATTTCCTTCACCTAAAAGAGAATTTAATTTAGCGACTCTTTCCAAAAGTCGTGAATGCAAATAAAAAACATCTCCTAGAAATTTCGTGACTGGGTGGAGGTAATAGAAGAGACATTCAATGATAAACTTGTACTTGTTTAGAGAGATTATTTAAGTGTGTCGTTCACGAAATATACAAATATTATTCAATCAGAGCTGCTCCTGTATAAGTAGTGAGGTATTATAGGCCCTTACATGGGGGGCGAAATTTGATGTTGCAAGTCGAAATCTTTTATTTAACAATAATGGATGGAATTGTTACCTTATTGCATAGATAACCTAAGGTTAAGTTCTTAAATCGAACTCCTACATAATTAATTGTAAGTTTGTTCATTGCCGGAAAAGTAGTTTATTTGTCGGTGCAACACACAACTTCTCTCTTTTTCTCGATTTGTATGGGATTGACATTTACAATTATTATTTGTTTTAATAAGGGAATAATGACACAATTTGTCCTTGAACTTTAGCCCAACATGCAATATGGTCCATGAACTTTTAATTTATTTGATGTGATCTCTGAACTTTTGGTACATGTTCAATTTAATCCCTGAACCATACGAAAATGTTCAATGTTGTCCTTTTATTAATTCAAGTTTAGGAGGGACAATATTAAACATTTGCATATAGTTTAGGGACTAAATTGAACATGTATGGAAAGTCCATGGACCGTATTGAACAATTTAAAAGTTCAAGAATCATGTTGCACATTGGGCTATAGTTTAAGGACCACATTAAACAAATTAAAAGTTTAGGGACGACATTACACATTGAGTCAAAATTCATGGACCATTTGTGTAATTTTCTCTTTTGATAACCAAACTATTACCAACTAAGCATTAAATTCAGGATTATATGCTTCAATTCAATCGTGTATAATCATGAGAAATAAGATAACTCGGGAGAATTGTACCACAAGTTTAAACTTTATGTACTAAATGCAGCTGAACGCGAATAATAACCATTCTGTTCCAGAAATAGATTTCTGGCCAGAAATAGATTCCTTGGAAGAGTTTTTAAGTAGAGAAATTCGTTTGATAACGACCCAAAATTTCTATTTCTAAAACAGAAATTTGTTTGATAACATTATAAAATTTCTATTTCCTGGAACAGAAATTCATTTAATAATAACACAAAATTTATATTTCCAAAATTAGAATATGAGTAAATTTGATGCCAAAAAAAAATGTGAAAACTCTCTCATTGCACCAAATCTCTCAAAATTATGTGAGAAAAATGTCCAATAAAGAATTCACCGACTATTTATTTTTGTTCTCATGATTCACACATTCTTTTGTATACCAACAAAAAGAGCATACAGCTGAAGTCTCCCCCGAGTCGAAGATCACAACATTTGCCCAGGGCAAGGGAATCATATCCGAGCGGCTAAGGCCAATCGAAATCTGGAAACCACTGTATAAGATCAACTCGGTGAAATAGAAGTTTCCTCCTTGTCCCTCTCGCAAATCCGACCGAAGACAGGAACAAGACAAGCATATCCCATGACTTCTTCGAATGAAGTTTCTGCCTTGCAAGAGAAGATGGAACTTCAGCTTCCATTTGAGAGCTTATAAAAAAAACACAAGCCTTGATCGAAAGAATGATGATAGAGTAACAGTTCCCAAATAAGGCCAGCGAGAGAGAGCATGATCATCACTAATCGCGTAAATACCTGTTACAGACTAAACAAGAACAGACACGTAAATGAATTTGTGATGCTCCGTCAATTTCATACTTAAAGCAATAAAGCTAAAAGGTTCTAAAAGTTACTAATGTCAAAGAAAGAATGACAAATCCTCGAACTCTACTAAATACCAAATACCACATCACATTACAAGAGCAAACATAAGAAATCCTCAAATACAAAATAATGAAAATACATTATAAAAGTTGAAAACAGAATTTCATGAAATCTCCGTCATATAATGATCTCTTGCCATCTTCTTGGCAATATTTTTCCTAAGCATGTTGATCTCGGTTCCCTCCCCAGTTGATGTATCGTCTATAACCTCATATTGTGTAGATCCAAACGGGTACTTCGGATCACCATATAGGGAAAAGTTCTTATTCATCTTGTCTTGATTACGAATGTAATTATAGATAGCATAACATACAATTACGATACGTGTTTACTTTCGAATTGTAAATGGAGGCATGTGCCTCAAAATGAAGAATCGATTCTTTAATGCCGCAAATGATCTCTCAATGACATTCCTTAGTGAAGAATGTCTATAGTTGAACAATTCTTTTGCTATTGTTGGCCGTCTTGCTCTACCCTATAATCATTTAGTTGATACCGTTCACCTTTAAGAGTAAAAATCCTAGAGGTACAGCATAACCACAATCCACCACGTAGTATTTGCCTATCACAAGATATTCATATGTTGGTCATGATTTGCAACCAAAATACAGTTATAAATGAACTTATCCCATGAAAAACAATCAAATATCTGGTTGTGGTCGAGGAAATTCCAAGCGAGGAATCTCGAGTGCTACCGAGAGCACCCAGCAATCGTTGGCAAAGCCTTCCCAACCAACATACACAAAAGTAAATTTCATATTAAACGAACAAACAAACATCACATTCCAAGTGGTAATTCCTTTCCTACTTCTAAATGGGATTTGTTTCGACACAGGTACATAAGCATGAACATAGGTGCCATCAATAGCGCCTAAGCAGCCTTGTCATTTTACAATATACTAGTATTATATAAGATTATCAACAAAACGAAACTGATGGTGCAAATGAATGTATGAAAATCCTACCTTGAAGTAATGTTTATGGGTAGGATCCATAAGAATCTCCTCTTGGACAACATCAAAGGAAGGTGGTACGATAATCTCTCTTATCAGTTTGAGAACTGCCTACAACACTATAGCAAAGTACTTGCTGATAATTTGTCCCAAATGTTGGAGTCTCTCGTATAAATCTCTATTCAAGTTCTTGTGACAAATCATAAATAAGAAGATCGCAACTTGTTCATTCACTCTAATATATCAACTATCTTCCAACCAACTTCTTACCTTCAATAAAATCACAAAGGTTAAGAAAGACATGTCTCTCCCTTCTAAAAGCTTCATATACTATATATGAATGTCCATAAAGAACCTCTCTTATCCATTCGGGTCCTAACAATACGATGTCCTTAATGAGTTCTCTCATGTTCATGGACATATCTAACGCAATAGTGCACAACCTTTCTATCAGTATATCAAGTTCAAAATCATCAAAACCTTGTTCAACTAATTCAACTGATGCTACTTGATCATTATTCATGCTACTTTCACCCCTCCTTTATATTACTTATGCTATCACACAAACTAAGAACATAAACACAACAAATAAGTGTGGAATCCAATAACAATCAACAATAACCACAATGTCAACATAGTTGCATAATAAAATAAAATAAAAACCAAAGCATCTCAAGTACATAAGTCATAGAGTAAAAATAAGCCAAATATAAATTCAAAGCATATTTCTTAAAATCTACTTAAAAAGATTGAAGAAGTTCACGTATCCTTTCGGGTAAGAATGTGATGAAAGCCTCTCTCTAGGTAGCATTAAGGCATGCCTAGTTCATGGCTTTGTTGTAAAGATTTTGCTCCAAGTCAGGCATGCCATTTAGGACGGCAACCACAACTCCTATGGAGTAGGGATCTTCGGGTGGTGGGGAATGTGAGGTGACGGAGCCACTCGTTGATTGACCTGCCTTGGATTTTATCATATCTTGAATATCTTTTAAGGTGCCAAGAACATCATACGTGTTACTTTTTCTCCTCCTCTTGGAATTTGGAGTCATATCGAACTTGTACTTCTCACGAACTGGCATCAAGTACGAAGGCTTCCTCATCATTAGGATATTCGTTAAGTTCCTCCGAATCACCTACTGTAGCACCACCACCATTGCCACTACCAACACAATTGTCTTCTCCCTCCGACACCACCAACTATTCTACATTTCCTGTTGCATACTCCCTAGTAGCACATGTATCACCGACCATAATATACAGATCGAGCTACTGAAGAAATCCATCCTTTCGAAATTTAGCCCATTTGCTATTATCCTGCAATTTTCACAATAATGACATACGTCAGCAACATAATCGAGGCTTACATCCACAATAAGAACAAAATGACCCAAGTAAAGTGATATCTTGATGTGAGACTCCCATACACTTGGATCCTCCACGGCGACCATTTTGTTAACATTATCCCATCCAAATCTAGATTGTGAAAGAAGTTTCTTCAAACTGCCATACTATCTCTTCAGTTTGTTTATCTTGTTCTTCAATTGAACAACTCTAAACTAGAGTGTTGTTTGTTTATTGAATTCGGCAAGTGTGTTATTCTACCTTGCTTTGTTGTAGGTACATGTGGTGCGATTTCCCTTTTATACCTCTTCTACCAACAAGCTTATAAGTAGATTGGTCAAAGGCTCGGTCCACTTTGCCATAAATGCATCTTTGTGGGATGCCATTTAACCTTAACTGGTTGAGCATCAAATGAGCCATATCATATGGTGTTCCAATTCAAGTATAAAAGATTTGATGTCAAGATCACATCTATGTAATATTCTATGATTGTTAATAAAACAAAATGCACGAACAAAATTGAAAGAGAACATCCGCATATTAGATTGTACAAGCAAGCATATATCATCTTGAGAATTATCATTCAAAGAAGCTTGTTCAAGATTCAAAGTAGAAGTAGAATTATAGATCAAAGAAACAAAATTCCAATTGAAGATCCAAAGTAGAAGCATATTTCTTCATAAGTATCATTCATCAACAGACTGTATAAACATGATCACAGTGCTTCCCATTACTTATGATTATAAAGAAGAAAATGAAAGCAAACTAGGCCAGTCTCAATCGGACACGATCCACACACATTAATAAAATCACTATTTTAACATTAAGGGGTTGTACAAAATGGTCAAAGGGTGGGGGTAAAATTCTGCAAAAGGGTCAGCAAAAGTTTCGGGTGTCTTGAGGACTTCTTTAATATATAGCAAGCTCATGGATTCTACTCATAAGTTTTGGTTCAGTGTATGCATAAACTAACTTAGAAGAAATTTTAAAGCATTCCCAAAATAAAAAGTGAAGCTGAGGCAAAGTCATTCATAATGCAGCACTGAACTCATGAGTTTCATAGGTATAGAAAATAAAAAGTTCTGGTTCAGTGCATGGAAAATAAGCCATATGCAGCACAGAATCCTGAGTTTCATGAGCATGATTAAGAACGTAGGGGAAGCCCTAATATAAAGACCCCAAAACTCACGCCATCGGCCTCTAACCCCAACATTAAACTTCAATGCCCTAATAGAAAGACAAAAAATCACACCCTATTCAAGCGACCATTCCAAATCCAAGCCTCAAAGTGACAACACGAGCGAGATGAAGAGGGGAAGCCCACCGATTGCGGGGAAAGCCGGTCACTCACGGTTACGTGGAGGCGTCGAGAAGAGAGGCTCGTGCAGTTGATGAGGGCATTGTTCCGTGAGGGTCAACGAGGAGGATGGAGTTGGAGTCGGATTCGGAATGGATTGTGTGGGAAAGGCGGTTAATCACACAGTTACCTAGAGGCGTCGAGAAGAGAGACTCATGCAGTCAATGAGGGCATTGTTCTGTGAGGGTCGACAAGGAGGATGGAGTCGACGCTGGCGAGGAAGATGGAATCGGAGTTGACGCCGGCGAGGAGGACGGAGTAAGATTCGAAGTGGAGGTGAGCGATGACGTGCCTAGGGTTTTTGGTCGAAGTCTGTTGAAGAGAGATGGGGGAGTACTTCGTGTTTTCTTCTCAAGGCCGAAGCTTTCTATTCCTGTTTTATATGTCAAGTGCGAAGGTTTTTGTGCGAAGACCAGAATTTTTTTTTTGTTGAAATGATTTCTATTTCTGTTCCAAAATAGAAAAGTAGAAAATGTTTACTTCTAATTTCTGTTCCAAATCAATTTCTTGAGTAGAAATTTGTTCCAGAAATAGAAAAATGAAATTGCGTTACCAAATGAATTTCTATTCCAAATATATTCCTGGAAACAGAAAAATAGAGAAACGGAATGGCCATCACGCGCGCCCGAAACTTTTCAATTGGTTCACTCAAATCCTAAAATATTTACCAAAAAGTGCAATTAGTCATAAACCTTTCAATTTGTTAAATTAAGTTCTCAACCTTTATCGAGAAATGCAATTAAATCCAAAAAATGATGTTGGAAAGGCAAATTAAGGCCGCCACGTATGTACTCGTCGAGTGGCACGGAGGAAATTTTAGAGTGGTCAAAAGGACTTGATTTCACATTTGGAAAATTTTTATGACTTAATTGAACTAATTAAACGGTTTATGACTTAATTAAACTAATTGAACGATTTAGCATCGCGAGTGGCGACCCATGTGGGGTCACTTGACAATGGGTAAATAAAATATGATTTGATTGATAATAAAAGATTTGAATCACCATCTATTTCTTTTTCCAAATAAAAGGAAACTTGTTATATTATAGGGCAAATCTTTCTGTCGCAGGATCATCTTAATGGATCACGACCACCATCAAACGGGTTGTCTTTAGTCAAGAAAGAGAACTTCGGCGACCACTGCAATAGTGATAGCTAACGGCGGCACTTGTCGAGCAGCAAGGCCGTGTCGAACCAGGCATATTCAATCCATCCGGTGATCTCTATTTCCTCTTCACGTTTGTTCAAAATTTCCGTCGAGCAAATCCGAGTCCAGAGCGTCGGAGTCGACACCGGTTTACAGGATCCCGAACCCATCAGACCCGCCAGGGGGAGGGAGGAGCCGGTACCGGCGAGCGAGCGAGCGAGGGCCGACACGTGTCGACCCGTGGGTGGGGAGTGCCCACGGGAAATATCTCCATTGGTCACCACCACATGTATGGGGATAACCAACAAAAATATCTGCCTTAGTGTAATTATCAAATAAATTAAGCCAAAAAGATATGGCAAATTTCTCTCTCTCTCACCTCCTCCTCCTCCTCAAAAGACCTAATTGCCACGCACAAACACGAAAGCGATCATTGAGGCGATGCCCTCCTTTCTCGAACCCCGAGACCGGCTATTGTCGGTTAAAGCGCTGCCCCTTTGAAGATTCCTCCCACCCGGAGCTGGCGGCGACCTGCTACGGGGGTTACCGGCTGCTCCCGGTCGCCCCCCCCGTTTCTCCGCTGGCCTCCCCTCCCCTTCCCCTTTCCTCCCTTTCCTTCTCGCGCACATCAGCTTCACACACCTTCGTCTCAACGCCCCTGTTCCTTGTCCCCTGTTCCCGTTCGATTCCGCCCAAGAAAAGAAAAAGGAAAAGATGATATTCCCCGCTTGATTCGCTATTTCGCAGCTCGATTGTCCGCCCTTAGAAAGTTGTCGCCCCTCCCGGCTCCGTTTCTTGAAGGTAAAATTCGATTTCCTTCCCTTCTGTTTTCCTCGTTTCCTATGTGTTCGGTCGGATTTCAAGACTGTGTCTTGGTTTGGTTTGGTTTGGCTTTTTTTTTCCCTCCTGGGTCACTGTTGAAAATTCATTATGAAATTCGGGAAAGAAATTCGTGGGAGTACTGGTCCGTCGGTTTCATTAGTTTTAAGGGTGCTGTTGTGTGAATCGCTGTGGGCTGATGCTGCTCGTGTGGAAGGTTGAAGCATGATGATGTAGTTCTTTGAAATTTGCAAATTATGCGAGGATTGCTTCCGTTTTTAGATAGGTGAAGAGCCTTGAGTTTGTAGTTTTGATCTTGCATTAAATGGGTTTTTTTTTTGTTTTGTTTTGTTTTGCTGGCTGAAAAAAGTCGTGTGTTTTTTCAGTTCCTAGTAATCTTGTTAGTTGTGGGTCAATATCCTAGGTTTTCCTGGCTTTGCCTCACTCTGCGTGCGACCACTCATGCTTTACCAATTCCGATGCCCGGCTACTTCTGCTTGATTGCTTGTCAAAGTAAAATTCGACAACTTTTTGATTTTGTTCATATTGGGTCAGCCTAAATTCGCGTCTGAGAAATGGTATGTGTGTCCTGAGCTTTTTTTTTTGTTTTTGGGCTCTCGATCTTGTAGTTTTGGACAGGGGAGAACTTGTAGCTTGGTGATGAAGACTACGAAGGGCAAGGGCCCGGCCAGGAGCTCAAGGGAAGCCTTGAAGCCTGCTGATGACAGGTTATACTGTTGCTTCTTTCGATTCGGAAACTTTTACCGTGTCTGATCAATTTCCTGTAGTAAGATTGTGGAGTTCTTCAGCGGCTGGCCTTTTCGAGGCGGCCGCCTCACTTAGCCCAGTCTAGTTTATAATGTCATATAGAGCAGTTACAGGAATGTGTTTAGCGGGGTACTGATAGCCTATACTTCCCTGTTATTTTCAGAATGGTTGGAAAGAGAAAGGCAGCAGCTAGGCCCGATACCAAGCGCAAAGCTAAGAAGGACAAACGGGTCAAGAAAGACCCTAATAAACCAAAGAGGCCTCCCAGTGCTTTCTTTGTTTTTCTGTATGTATCTTCTTGTCCTCCTCCTTTCTTGGTTTGTTTTCATTTGTGCATGGGGGTGGGTGTGTGCTTATGTGTGCTGCTTGCATGATGTAGAAGTTACCGAGTTGATTCTTTAGCTTTGCAATGTATCTCTTATGTATCATGTGTTGCTACAGAGAGGAGTTTAGGAAAACTTTCAAGAAGGAGAATCCTAACATAAAGGCTGTATCAGCTGTAAGCACGTAATCTCTCACTATGTGCTGGTCCGCCATGCATTTGGTGTGAAATATGGATGAAATTGATTTGTTAACTGAAATGTTTGAATGAAGGTCGGGAAAGCTGGAGGAGAGAAGTGGAAATCCATGTCTCAGGCGGTAAGCACGACATTTTCCAGATGCCTGTATTAACACTTGATGTCAGCGGGATGTTTGCTATTGCAAATATGTGTGTACTCTTGATAAGAACCGTATTGTAGTCTTGGGGGGTGGCGTTGTAGTGTTAGGTGCTGTAATTTAGCACCAATATTGCTTGTTTCGAGGGATTTTGCGGCCAATGATTCATGGCTTGTCTTCATCTTTGCGGGGAGTTTTTGGCCTTTTGCCTTTAAAAATTTTGGTTTATATCTAGATGCTTTCAAGTTTCTAATTGCAATTTTCTTGCATCTTTTAAAGGAGAAAGCCCCGTATGAAGCCAAGGCTGCAAAGAAGAAGGCTGAGTACGAAAAGCTGATGAATGCCTACAACAAGAAGCAGGTAAACCATCTTACTATCTTGATAGCAAAAAGTTTTTCTGTTGGCATTTACTGGCCATTAAACGCCTTTATCTATGCATGGTGATAGGAGAGCGTGGATGACGATGGTGATGAGGAATCAGAGAGGTCCAAATCCGAAGTGAATGATGAAGATGAAGCTAGTGCGGAGGTATCTTTTAATATGTGGTTATGATTTCCAGCATTATTTTTGTTCCTAGATATTATCATGGCATGGTTTTCGAGATTATTAAGTGATCATCTTTCCGTCTTTCATCTCGGGAGTGAAACTTTGCTCGTGATTGTACTTACACTGTTGGCATCACCGCAGCATATTTCAAATTTGCCTTTCACCACTAGTTGGTGATTGATATTAGGCGTACACTTTTAGTTTTGGGACCATCTCCTTCATAGCAAGGTCTGATGCATGCGCCTTTCCATATGCAAAGAATGCCACACTGGAGAAAGAAGTGTCAAGAGAAAGAAGCGACCATTGCATTTGAGGGGGGGGGGGGGGGGGGGGGGTAACTTTTAACTGCAAAGAAGAAAATTTTGGGGAAATTTTTCGGTCCATAACGAAACTGTTTTTGAGATCATATTCTTTTGACATAATTATTATCCTTCCAAAACAGGATGTACAATAAATAGAGCATATCGCTGGCATTAGCATACGATCATGCATCTTGTCTCTTGCATTGGCTGTGGATTGATCCACCCCTACATAATTGTTTTGGGCTGTAGGATGGTCAAGAGGATGAGGAAGAAGAGGAGGATGACGATGACGATGAGGACGACTAAAGAAGGATGGTGTGGAACTCCATGTTGAATAGGTCCATCTTGTGGACAATTCTGGACTATAGGTATACGACGCGTCGAGCTAACGTATGGCACTTCTGGTTCTCTTTTTCTTTTTTGGCTATAGCCAGATTCTTATGGCTTGTTGTATAACATGTTCTGGTCCACAGAAAGTGCTTGTTGTTGTTTCCCAAGTAACATAATCTATCCTATGTCTCTGCTGTTTATTGTCTAGCATTTTGTTGCTCATAAGGCTTTGGTTGGCTAGTTTCATGACCATGCATGTGCAAGAGCTGGCAAATTTTGCTCTTCTATTTTCCGCTTTTTGTATCATAGAGTCGTGATTTTCTGGTCGAAGTAAAAGTCGGCTCCGATAACGAAGGCCAGCCGATCGTAAGTACAGTCCGGAACCTTGGATGCACAAGAAACACCAGAGCGTTTTTTTTTTCTTTGGTCGAAACCAGAGTATTTAGTAGGAGGCCACATTGCACGTTTAGTGAGACTCGCATGAAAATAGCGTCCCGTCATGTTTATGGGAATCTTCTATTCTTTACGATTCCTGACTTCCGTTTATACAGATCGTTATTTTATAATGTGGGAGGAAGATCACCTTATGTGTTTATTCTTCCTAACGTTAATGATTAGAACAGTACTCTCTCTGTCCCTCTCTCTCTCCCTCTCTCTCTTCATGTGAAGCGGCCTAGACCATTTTAATGCATAATCAAGATTGCAGGGTATTCGCTCCTGATCCTCTTTAAGAAAGTTGAGAACGAAATGACAACGCTTCAACACAATTGTGTGAAAATACCTGCAAAGAATTTCAACCTTAGTGGAAATTTCCTGATGAGGGAAGAAAACAGCTGAAAAACCTTGAATTTAAATATCTCTGCTCCTGCATTTTCCCATAATTCGCTTGTAGAAAACAGAAAGAACATTCCTCATTTTGAAATGATGATTATCACCTGAGCGCACCAAAGAAGCCTCTCGGCTCTACACTTCCATGTAAAAGAATATGAGTATACATACACCAAGTTGTATTGATCACACATTTATATACAATTCTAAATGGGTTGCAACTAGCAATGTGATGAATAAACATATGCACAATGATGTATTATCTACAAACACAATCTATGTCCAAGTTCGACCTCCACCGGAAAAATCATCAGAAATGAGGATCGTAGGAGACGTGCACGGGATCTGGGACTATGAGAGGAAGCTTCTCTACGTACGTAACCAGTCTCTTCATGCTCTCTCTAGCAATGGAGTTCAGGTCGATGATCTCGATGCCGGACATATATATCCATAGGTCACCAGAGTCGACTCTCTTAAGACTGTCCCGGCAGAATGGGCAGGACTGAGACCTGGTGCGCCTGAAGCAACCAAGCAGATGAAACATATATCAACGGAAATGAAAGTTCCAATCAAGCAAAGGACATGAAACATAAAGCATTACCAGCATGACTCAACATTTTAAAGTCCAACTCATAATAACCTTCAAGATGATGGAGTGATCAAACCTAGATTTAAAATCGATCTTACACATTGACACGGCAAAGAAAGCCTTTCATGACTATTCTATTGTTGGAGAAAACTAGTGCTGAATACATGTGGTGAAACATCTTTCTAATTTCAGCGAGTGATTGTTCTCTAATACAGGGGATGTGCACATTCGAGCATACATTTTCTGAGCAGGATGTAGCAATGCACAGATATTTCCTTTAGACATGAAACGACTTACCAATTACGATAACACTTCATGCACATAGAATGATTGCAATGCGGCAGTACGATCTTGCTGCTCATCTCCATGCAAATACCACATTCCTCTTCTCTCTCAATATCAATTTCAGATAGCTTTCCCTTGTTAAGTTCGTCTTTTCTTTTGTACTTGGCGGCACACACTTCTTTTTGTTTCCTCTCTTCCACGTCAGTTATTCCTCCGTGAAGTTGCAGGAGAGTGGGAAATATCACACCTAGTCATGAAATGCGAAGGTTGATGTGGGATTCAGGCGAAGTCTTCTTTGGGATAGTATTTACAAAATTCCGATAGTACTTAGAAGTGGTATCGAGACTGAAGGGAAGAACCATAACTTCATTCCACTTACCATAGAACTCTTTAATGCTAGCTTTCCTTTCATGAATAGACACGGTGGTCTTGCCATCTACATAAGCCTGCGATAATCACCATCAAATCAGCATATCCTTGAACAGAAGAGATGCTTTCTTTAAGTCCCGTTTTATAATTTTGCACAAGGAGACAGCCACTATTTCATTAAAAAACAAAAGAAATCAAGAAAGTGCAGCCTACCTTGTAAATGAGAATCCTAAGCAATCCTAAGGTACCAGCGAGGTGGCAATCAGTCCACTGAACAAGAAACAGCAAAAGGCGAGCAGCTGGGCTATACGATAATCTCATCTGAAGACAGGCACCATCGTATTCCTGAGGGTAGTCTGAAGCTCTGAGGTTCGAACAAAAAGCAGTACTAGTTAGCTGCTGCGATCGTCAGGCTCGGCACGATGGCAGACACAAAATTCTCAATAAATTCACTTATGCACCATGTTGTGTTGGATCAATCCAAGAGAAAAACACGCAGCAAAAGTTCAATACAAAGCAAAAGGTGAGTTGGTCATGGAGTAATTGAACAGAGAGTAAGCACTAAACGAGCTCAATTCCCAGGGAGGGAACAAGGACAAGGGCTACGGCACATCACACGTTGAGGGGTCAGCAAGATCTATATCACTGCAGAACCATTCAGATAACGGACACACGGACACACGCACACACCGTCTCTTAAATAAGCAAGCTTTCGCCTTTCTTTCGATTTCTTAAACAACAAAAGGCTCGGTATCTGGACGGGAACTGAAATTTGCTGCGACGTGGAAGAAAAGAGACTGCAGAACACAGTACAAGCTTTCACCTCCAACTTTCAAGAATCTACGATCGGCACCAACGTGCGCAATCTTGCTCAACCGGTGGCACAAATCAGAAACAGAGGAACCCAAGAAAAATTTACAACAAATGAAAAAGAAGAAATTTCCAAAAACAACAGAAGAGATCCCCAGATACACAGCGGACTACAAGAAGAAAGTCGGGGTTTACAGGGTATTGGCGAACTGAATGTCCGCTTCGAGCGACTTGAGGGAGTCCTTGAACGATTTCCGCATGTCTCTCCCGCCTCCCCTCCACAGGTATTCCCATCCAACGGCGGAAACGACTCCGTAAAGAGAGAGAGAGAGAGAGACCCCCGAGCGCTAGCTGCGACGGCCCCCTTCCTCCGTCATCTCCGCCGGCACACCCACCAAGAATGAACCGCCCGCCGCCGCCCCAGAAAAGTAGAAGAAGAAGCAGAAGCAGCCGCCGCCGCCGCCGCCGCCGCAAACGAAACGACAGACGTCTCCGAACCAGGCCGCGGCGCGCGAGCTCGGAGCCGACCCACGACAGCAAAAAGAGAACTTAGAGAAGACACCCTCTCTGTCTCTCTCTGTCTCGCTCGTATGAGAAGTGGCGTTTCAGAGAGAGAGAGAGAGAGAGAGAGAGGTGGGGGGTTACTTGGGTTTCGCTTGGTTCACACGTAACAGTGTCGCTCAGCTCTCCTCTCACCAGCACTTCATTTATAATTTGTCCAATTAGTTTAAATCCAGAGAAAACAGAGAGACAGAGCGAGAGGGGTGTGAGGTTGAAACTACGCAACTGCCCCTTGGTCTCCCTCTTAAATTCGTCGTCGGCCGACTTGAACCTCGGTTTAACGGGGGTAGCGATTTCAGAATCCGTCTAAGTTCCACCTGAAATCTGGAACCTATCTTGTTAGAATAGGTTTCCCGATTTTTGGAAACTGAAATCCGAAACCTGTCCTTTTAATCGATTCCAGGGTCTACCCGAGAACCGGGTAATCTTTTTTTGTTTTATTTTTTTCTTCCCTTTTTTTGTTTCGTTTTTAGTTAAGCAAAATAAAAGTTAAGGAAACAACAAAAATCCCCCATTTGTCAATAACAACAATCCATAATAGTAAGTTTGAGAGGTTCTAGGTTTCGTACAGGTTCCACCTAGAACCTGGAACCTACCCAAGTTCCACATTTTTTAGAACCTAGAACCTACCTTATATACATTTGAACCTAGAACATAACCCGACATAGGTTCTAAGGTCTACCGAGTTCCATATGTATTATTAATTGAACAATTACAGTGAATCATCACATTTAATGACCATCACTTGTCATTATGATCCACTGACCATAACTTATATTTAGACACACGAAAAATATAAAATATTAACAAGTCATAAAATGAAATCTTAGACTAGTATTCCAGATTATACACTCATCGTTTAACGTCATAGAACACCGCAGGATCACGCGAAGACATAGACCAAGAAAAAACACAAAAAAACTTGTTTAAGGTTTCAAGTTCCAGGTACCAGCTACCTAGAACCTGGAATCTACCCGTCAAAACAGGTTTCTCAATTTTTAGAACCCGGAACGTACCCTGCATACCTTAGAACCTGAAACTTATAGGTTCCCACCGATCAGGTTTTCAAGTTCCATATTCTTTCCTGGAACCATGCTCATCCCTACATATACATGAACGTGTAAAATAAAATAAACAATAAAACTTTGAAAACACGTAACGTAAAATCTAAATTATAGAACTTTAGTCCTCAATCATTCATGAAAAATTGCTTCAAATTCTAACCACCTGAAATAAAAAGAAACAACAAACATAATTAATCACTTAACAATAGTTTTAAATTAAAAATGTTATTAATTAAACTAAGACAATTATTAGAAAACCTCACCACATATATTCATTCCACCCTATTGGTTCCCAGTCCGGTTTTTCGATTTCGAGGTTCTTAACTAGGAAATTGCACGATACCGATTTCACTTTTTTTGGAACCGGTAACTGTGGGAACCTAGAATTAGATTGGTTTCTATGGTCGATTTGGTCCAATTCTCGGTTGAACCCTAGACTTATGCTCACCTCTAGGGCCAATCACGATTGTGAAAACCGTTAACTTTTTGAAGAGACGTTTTCGGTGGTCTCTAGGAAGGGGACGAGCCTAAGGAATTAGCTTTGCTCTTAATGCAAATTTAACAGATAATAAAAAAAAGAAATGAATTTATGGACACTATTAATGTAATTTATCTGATTTCTAGCATGTTTGAACTTTTTCAAGAAAAAAAAGAATTGTTCAAACACGATCTCATGGATTTTATTTCACCAGCAACCGGTAATATGGACACGGAAACAA